GATTTCTTCAGAGAAAAGGTACGTACATAATATGAAAAACGTTGACTGAAAAATATATTTTAATTTTTGTTGCATTTAAGAAAAATCTAAGCTGAGTATAAAACTTTTTTAAAAGAAAGGAGAAATGAGAGAAGCAGACTGGTTGAAAGTTTGAATGAAATCAGACCACAAATTATGAATTCACTAACCACATTACCAAATTGGGCTTCACATAGATTAAATGATCTCATATTTCAAACATTTTTTAAATTGTCGCCATTCTGTTTCTTTTATGTTTCTTCTTTTATTAAAAATAACTTTTATAAAGGTTAGATGGCCCTTTTATGGCTATTGTAGTCTCTGGGTTGGCTCAGCTGGGTATTAACTACCTTTCAAAACCAAATATGTGTTAAAACCAATTCAGATATCAGTGACAATGGATAAAGTGTTAATTTGTAATCATATACCCGGTTGTCCAAAAGAAATACCAGGGAGGTGAAAGAAAGGAGGCGAAACTCTTGTAATTTATTTGAGGGCATTCGTGATTTCTAAAGCGTAACAATGGGATGTGTAACATTCCACTTGGCTTTGAAGTTCCATGCTCCGAACTGCGCTTCCACTGCGGGGACTTTACATTTTTTTACAAAAGATTAAATTACCTGCAAAATTTCAGTGTAAATCAAAAACTTTATATGGGGATTGTTTTGGGAATAGTGCATCAAACAAATTTTTAAATTTAGTACACCGTCCTTTCTATAATTTGTTTGCCAGAGTCGGTAAAAGAAAAATTACATCCTGACAAAAACTCAATATTTTAGGATAATGCGCTAATTTGTGCATGTTTTAATGTCCCTTTAATCCATGATTTACAATCTTCAATAAAATTAAGTTTGCTGATACGTGTTTTCACATGTTTTTTGTATTTTTTAAGTTAAAAAAAGAATGAAATTACACAAGTTTGTGGTTCGCTTGTTCTACTCTTTACACGTTCAACAATAGATGAGATAATAGATAATAGATTAAAAGGGACAGCGAACAGTTGCTGTGATACCATTTTCTGATGTAGGAATTCTAAATCCTGAAATTTCATGCGCTCTTTTATCTCACCACCTGGTTAACAGTTGCAGAATAGCGCATAACTTTTTGGCGGCTTGGAGCATGGGGTCAAAAGAGAGCAGCTTGATTCCAGTCCTTCTCTATCACGTCCCTGGATATACATAGGTTTTGTGGTAGCTTATCATGTAGCTTTCTTTCTCAAATTTAGAGGGTCATGTGATCATAGACCTCTGTGAACCCTTTGGATACTAAGTCCAAGAAAACATGTGTGTGTTTTTATACACCCTGTATGCGGGAAGTATGACCAAAATTAAATCACATCTAACTGGGATACACTGTAGATGGAATAGTTCAGAAGCGTCCATATTACACAAATGAACATTAAAGGCTGTTATATACCTCACTTAAGTAATCCAGCCATCTGATTGGTCGAAATTGCATTCATAAACTTCAACTGTTCCTGTAAAATTCCCGGTAACCATGCTTAAAACATTTAATATTTTTAATAACCATGGTTATTAAAAAAATAAGTCAGTCTCCATGGTTACCCCATAGGTTTACATGTTAAAAAATGGTTTGAGCGATGGAGGATACCGTATGTGTGCGAATAATTGGTCGGTAATTTCAATACAATTGAATCTCGATCGATCTTACCGACAATTTTATCTTGCATTGTTGACATGAAGACGAAAATAAACTTTCAAAAACAAAAAAACAACATCTGCCGATAGATCTTGATCTAAGTTCGTGCCAATATGCATTGCAAAAGTAAAAGAAGAGTCCGTATATGGAGCTTTTGCGAAGCATTCATCACACGCGAAGCCGGTTTCAATCCATTTTAATGTATATATCGTACAAAACTGCCTAGTATGTTAATAGCGCGCGATGGCCGAGAGGTCTGAGGCGCTGACTTTAGATATATCACCTTTTGTACGCAAGAGTTCGAATCTCATCTTCGACCAAAAAAAAAGTATTTTTTATTTTTTATTTTTTAGTCTATTTTTTTCGGCATATAAAAGTATTAATGACTGCTTTAATATTCGAGAAATAGTTGTTTTTATACGCTCTCGGGAAGGTTACAATTGGGCTATTCCCCTCGGCACGCCTCGGGTAATAGCACAATTCTAACCTTCCCTTGAGCGTATAAAAACAACTATTTCTCTCAAAGCAGTCATTAATACTATACTATTGTATTCTTACCGACAGTACCCACGGCTCAAAGATTCATCGGCCACAGGAACCTCCATAGAGATTTGCAAGATGGTGATGGCTACAGGTAAGAAAATAATGCAGATACAGGCCCTGGGTATTTCATTCATTTTGTTTCTCCAGGGGCCGTATTTTGAAGCGAAGTTATCTTTTATGCTAGACAGGCCTTAGGGAAAATGCGCAAATGTCTCTTTTAAATTCACACAAACACAGCCAGTTTTACGTAGACGTTAACCAATTACTTGTCCTAATTTTGATTTGTAGTGGGAATTGATATTGGTTTACCATGGTTTACCAACACAAAGATAACGTCTTTTCAGAATACCACCCAGAACTCTTTGAGCTTTCTAATAGGGCTTCTGTAGCTTTTTTTGAGCAATGCAACCTTCCGTTCCTATGTATTTCTTTTATTGTCTGAAAACAAAATAGAAATTGCATGTCCATATACTTTTAGTGCATGTATCATTGAGTTTTGCAATAAGTGTGATGTGGTAATATATAGATTTGGGTCAGTATTATACAGTGCTGGAAATGGTCTGAAATTGTCATTTATTTTTACTTCCAATGCGGCACGATGGCTGAGTGGTAGAGCAGTGGTCTCATAACTGAGAGGTTCCGGGTTCGAAACCAAGTCAATGGGCTAGTGCCCTTTGGTAAGGCATTAATCATCATTACCAAGTCCCTCACAGAGGCCTTAGGAGAGGACTAAAAGCTGTCGGTCTACTGGTTGCACACTTACAAGCATACATATGCTTTCTTAGCAGTCGGGTAAAACAAACAAACATTTTCTTCTTTAGCTTTAGCTTCTAATTGCACCAGTGTTCATTGACATATTTTCATGTGACCCTCTTTGTTTACAGATACCATCACTGAAATGGAGAAGATGAATAAGAGCACCTGGCAGAAGATCAAAGATTCAATACCCTGGAGGTCAGCAGGGCCAGGGGACGACAAGAGCTGAGACAGACAGCAATAGGTCAACCAAGGTCACCAGTTTCGTCCGCTGTGAAAAAGATGAGATGGGCATTTACTAACCGAACTGCCGTTATATTATATGGAGGAAAGCAGACTTAGCCATGGCCTCGTCTTGTGAACAAAATTGTGATTGATCTGAATCTCTTGCAACTCCACTTCAGTTCGATGTCAGTCGCAATGCTGTTCATGAGCAATTGTAACTTTGCAATTGATTTTAGGATTTGCAAAAGATTTGGATTCATTTTGACATTTTTTTTCTGATGGGGCTCAGGACTGTATGTAATATTGACTTTTACCTGTGCTATTGAACTATATTGAATATGTATAAGCAACCAGGGGCCTTATGGTTGTATATTGTGTGATTATTGTCTAGGAGCAGGAGCAAATGTCCATATGGCTGATCTTTTGATCAATTGAATGAAAGATGTTGGATGGTGGATCGATCATAACATGCTCAGGAATAGCAAGGAGGATATTGTCCTATTGATATTGAATGTCATCAGGACTTGTTTAATTTAGATTTGAAACTGTTTTCCATTCTGCCTCATCCTGAATGAAGCTTTGTCCCAACAGTGTTTCAATCTGTAAACAAAATAGTTTAACCGACTTAGTCATGTTGAGGGAAAGAGGGAGGAGAGAGAGAGAGAGAGAGAGAGAGAGAGAGATGGGAGGGGGAAAGGAGAGAGAGAGAGATAGAGAGATGGGAGGGGGAGAGAGAGAGAGAGAGAGAGATATGAGTGCATTTTCAGTTTGTGCAATCTCATAAATTTTTGATATGATCATGTGATATATAGTATTACTGAAAAATTGCGAAGAAATTTGATTTAATATGATTTTCCACTGTGCTTTGAGCCATAGTATTCTCATAATGTATAATGAAGAGTTTAAATAAAAAACTGAATTGATATGTCCGGGAAACTGCATACAGAGAAACTTTGCTGCCAATGTTTGGATTTTTAAAAACTCTATAGTTGCATTTGTAGAAGTGTCATTGTCTAGTGGATAGGTCACTAGACTGTGGATCACACGGTTTACAATCGAGTCCTGACGCGGCACTAATGTGGTTGGATTGGCATGTGTGCACCTGTAAATGGCGCCTGGCCGGAATACTTCCCAGGGATCGGAGCTTGTGCACTGTCACGTGTGGGTTAGTAATTTAATCCAATGATCAATAATTACAATGTAAAGCTGCTCTTAAAGATAAAGTTGTGTTCTGGTCATGCTATTGCATTGTGAAAGAAACATTGTGAAAAAAAAATTGTGGAATTGTTCAGAAAAGGTTAGAGCATATATGTATTAGTGTGTACTGCAAGGTTCTGGAGTCATCAAAATGATAAGAAATGTGGCCCAGTCTTGGTAAAGTAACAGACACTGTACACAGAAAGATAAACATGTATATGGAAATACACAAACATGTGGCATAAAAATCGGGCCTCATTTTTAAGATATTCCTTGTCATATTTAGAATTTGAAGGCATTTAAAGAGCTACATGTATGCTTTTCAGGGTACATTTTTTCTCTAATGTTCCTCCACACTTGCCTAATAACAATAATATCGTTCATAAATTATTTTTCACCTCTCCCCAGAACTCGACCTTCTCTTTAAGCACTATGCAAATCTTATTAATTTTATTGAAATAAAGAAAAATAAAGAGAATTATATGGTAACTAAGATTTTGATTCTTGGGACTACATTTACTTAAAGTCAATCTTGAAGGTTATGTGGAAAAGATTTGAAATACAAGAGAGGCACGCCCATTCTGAATTTAAGAAATACTCCTACACTGTATGTACAAGCTGTAGGCATCTAAAAAGAAAGCAATATACAACATAAAACAAAATTCACCATGAGCCAGGCCATATAAATTTATGAATAGTTCTTTATTATTAGACCAAATATACTAAATTCACAACACATAGCGTACATGTGCACATAAATATTATTAGCTTTTATCCTTTAAACTGGCTAATATTATGCATATTAAAAGCTATTCTTATCATTATGAAAATATAGGACTTGAGTATAAATACAGGGCAACGGAAAGGAAAATGGATAAGAGAAAGAACGAGGCTGAAAGGAAGTAGAAGGTGGCTGGCGAGAGAGGGGAGGATGAGAGAAAATGAGAGAGAACAGGAGATAAAGGAGAAAATGAGAGAGAACAGGAGATAAAGAAGAGGAGGAGCTGCTTGCCGCTAACTTCAAGGATGCAAATCTCTGATTCTTACTGTTGTAACTCTGAAAGTTTATTTCTTGTTGATAAACAATATATTTACACCCCCCCCCCAAAAACAAAAGAATCGACATCTCTAACTAAAATATTCTTTCTTTACTTTGTCTAGGTTTCGATATTACAGGTGTAGGATCATTAAGCATGCATATTAAATACCCACAATGTCATCACAAGTTCACAATTAATAAACATACCAAGATTACATCAAGAAAATCATTTGAACATGTTATATTTGTACACAGCATTATGAACTACAATCGCACAGAATGCTGCAAAGCCAAAGAGATCCAGAATATTTTGAATTGTGCCCCTGTAATGAAGTCATAAATGATGATATCATCTTTGAGAAAAGAATATGGTTTGAACTTAGTCCTGTTCATGGAAAATTCAAAGAATGTGCTCTCTCTCTCTTTAAATGAAAAAGAATCGATGTTCGATATTCTTAGAAGATTCAGTCGGAAATTTTAGAGCCTAATAAATTCTATTAAAGTAAACAATATAAAATGTGCATATGAAACAATCCAGATTATACTCATTTTCCAAGGGTCAATTATATTATTTGTTACAATCTCTGTGTCCTTTTGATTCAAAATTTCAAGGATCTCCATCCTGCAAAAAGTCTTGAAAGTCTTTTCTCCTTTAATAAATGGTGCCCTGGGTAAAATAACAACTTCAATCTCAAACACAAAAATCATATCGGTCTTGACTGAACTCAACTGAAAATCATGTTGAACAGCGGAGCTTAACATCTTTCTGAGGTCAACTTACAGTTACTTCTCGAGTTGAAAATAACTAGATTTCTTACAAAGCCACACATGATTACTGCATACCATCTATAACTGTGTATGGGTGGAATTTTTAAGACAATTAATATAATGATATATATACTGAACTAACATTTTAAAGCTCTACAACTTAAAAACATATATCACATCATTCATTGAAATAAGCTTACTGGTAATACAAATATGAACAGCGTGAATTTCAATATTTACAATTCCTTTCAGCTTTAAAAATCATGTTCAAACTTCTACTTTTCATGCGTATACATTTCTCTTTGCTGTTTTACCACTTTCTGCATATCTATAGATTGCATTGTGTTTATATCGATGAAAATGTATTATATAATCCATTTTTCATGTGCATGCCACTTCATAAGCTTTCAATTTGAATTTCTAACATGCAAATATTATTTCATCACATAGGTAACACACTGATTAGTGATCAGACTACATGTAAATTTCTAATTGTCATAAAGCTTATTTTGTGAGAGTGTTGGAGTGTGTTTATTTCATTTACCACGTCGCAAGAACATCAAAGATTCAACAATGCACTTCTAATATTCACCATGCAGACTACTGCTATGACTGAGACTACATCTGATTGTATACAGTGTATATATATACATGTACCAGCATGAAACTGACTGCATAAAGTTTGTTATTGATTCATATGACAGCATTTCTTGATGATAATACGTTATGATCTGTGGTTGCACATGTATGTGTAGCCTCTTGAAGTTTACCATAATTCTAGATTTGATAAAAGTTTATTGGTATACACAGCAAGAATCTGATTTCTAAAGTTAAGATTATACTTACACTGAAAAATAATTCTTTTCACAACGCAGTTTACAATGCAATCAAATAATACCAATTAACACTTACATAATATTTCTTATTTTACATGTTTATTCAATAATATATTAGTTAGATTAATCCACCTAAAAACACACGACCTCTGTCTATATAATTAGCCAACTGACATATAAGCCTTAGTTTGTGATTTATCTGGATATCAATATTTATTGTTTTCAATTATTTTACTCTTTTTCTGTTGTTTAGATTGTTATAAACTGGTTACTTTGAAAATAAAAATATACACAATTCCATTTTATTAAGTTTATAAAAATGGCTCATGTGCCTTTATCAGCAATTGACCGAGATCATATTTCGCAAATTTCTTGTGGATTTTGAAGATTTCACTGCACTCTTTGAGATGCTATCCCAGCAAACCTCGGCGTTCGACTTGGCATCTAGCTGAATTCTCTTTCACTCAGAATGATGGGAGCGACAAGGGTCCAGACATAGAGGGCGACACACACCCAGCTGGAGGATATCTTGACCCACATGGCTCCACTGTTGGCAGCCAGCGAATCAAAGTTGGCTCCTGCTGGCCTAGAGGTGGACATAAAGCAGAGGAGAAAACATGTTAGAAATAGCTTTGATTACAGGTTCAGAGGTCAGAGGGGACTAAAATAGATTTCCTTGAGTCTTACATTGTGATACACCTACATGTATGAAGTATGAAGATAACCATTAAAGCCCTTTTGCACTAGTTTTGGCAAGGAGGGATTAGACCTCCCTGCATGACCATGACCACTGACAGGTGGTTATTTCATCAAATCAGCTCTTAATTAACATTAGAAAAGGACCATCGATTAGGCATTGTTTGCTATATAGAGGGCACAAGTAGCTTTAAGTAGTGCAGTGGGGCTTTTAAAGGAAAATTTATCATGAAAACCCTGTAAAATTAGAGAAATGACATTTATAGTGTTTGGATTTTAGGATTAACCTTTCACATATAAAGGTTACTTCTCCTTTCAATGAAATTGTTTCAATCCTATAAAAATTCTAATTATCTTCATGGATGTCAGAATTATTGACAAACATGGAATTCAAATGGAGAACAGGGAAATGTACTGTTACATGAATCTTAACGTAACAAACTAGTCGTTATTATACTCATTTGCCAATTTCAATTTCAACCTTTCAAGAGTTCACAAATTTCATGCTTCTCTAATTTTCTGCATTCCTGTAAAAGAAGTGTAGACCTGTAGATGTGTGCACGTTAAAAAAAAAAAAAAAAGCTATATTGTTGATATGATTTAATGCAATGCAGTGCATAAATAGAGATGAATAAAATTATTTAAAAATCTGTCAACCCACAAAAAGAACATTGAAATAGTTATTTGCCAATATATTGCAGGTATCAACAGCAAATCTTGGAGTAAACATTTTGAATATAGGGACTTAAATTGGTTTGATAATGTAATAAATATGATAATGAAACTGTATTCACATCTGTTAGCTAAACACAGATTGGACATTATTTTTCTATATCATTAGTGATATTCAGTGATACGGCATATAGCTCATGCTAAGTTTATTAAAAGCTGAATGGAAGAAAAACATGTTTGTGCATTTGTTGTGCATTTGTGCTGAGAATAATCACCATCTAAAAATATTATAAATAATTTTTATAATTTGATAATCATTAAAATGCATTATAGAGATGAAAGATTACAATGTTTCATCCTAATTAACTATCCTAATTACATAGTACAGTATGAACTAGATGGAATTTTGACTGCGCGCAGTCGAAAATGATGCCTCCGCCATAGAGCAATTTAAACAAGTTTGGAGTTTAAATCTCCAGTGGTTCTTGAGATATCATGATAACAATCTCAATGTATGGAATTTCATAAGTTGACCTCTGTGACCCTTGACCTTTGACCTACGTGCTCCAAAATCTAATCAGATTGTCTTCCTATGGTGATACACACTATCATTAAGTTTGAAGTTTAAATCTCCAGTGGTTCTTGAGATATTATGATATGGTGATACATACTATCATTAAGTTTGAAGTGAAAATTCTCCAGTGGTTCTTGAGATATCGCGATAACGATCTCAATGTATGGAGTTTCATAAGTTGACCTCTGTGACCCTTGACCTTTGACCTACGTGCTCCAAAATCTAATCAGATTGTCTTCCTATGGTGATACACACTATCATTAAGTTTGAAGTTTAAATCTCCAGTGGTTCTTGAGATATTATGATAACAATCTCAATGTATGGAATTTCATAAGTTGACCTCTGTGACCCTTGACCTTTGACCTACGTGCTCCAAAATCTAATCAGATCGTCTTCCTATGGTGATACATACTATCCTTAAGTTTGAAGTTTTTACATCTCCAGTGGTTCTTGAGATATCATGATAACAATCTCAATGTATGGAATTTCATAAGTTGACCTCTATGTAGTGCTGTAGCCGAACCGCCGAACCGAACGGAAGTTCGCCGAACATGGCACTTCCGAACCGAACCGAACCGAACCGAACACAAAGGCCTGGTTCGGATGTTCGGCAGAAAAATGTAAACGTTTTTGCAAGCTAATAAACTTGTCATTTTTGTACCTAATTTTCATGTCATGATTGCTCATTTTATATTTACTTTTTCCCAATTTTCTGCCTTTGTGATTTATGCCTATCCAGTGGTGGGCGCGACTTCACTGGCGCCATTTAAATCCCAAATCCTGACCACGCTACGTCGCGATCGCAAGCCATAAACAAGAATACATGTGGCATGTTCGTGATCAAAACAAGTTCAGCTCAAACCCATTCAAATTAATATTTTAATTGTAACAATATCGGACAAATTTTACAATATAAATAATGAAATAAATATTCAATTCAGTATTGTATTTATTTATTCAGGAAAAATAGGGATTTTATATTTTTCCTATTGAAAATAAAATCTTATAAAAAACGGGTTATTGACGAGCCTGAATTCTCTATTCAAGATGGCAGCTTTCATGACTCTAACATTAGACAACAACCGTGTCGGAAAATCTTTAAAAAATATCATTTATTGACAAATTGAAAACATGATTCTTTTAAAATTGAAAATAAAACACGATTCAAGACGGAAATACGAATGTAAGTAGTATTTTTCTTCACAAATAATTACGTTTAGAGCAGTTTTTGGCTTTTTTAATGTGAAATTCGTGCTGGTCGGTGGCAGTGTGCAGAAGTCCTCCGTGCTGGTCGGGCCCGCGCCCGGCAGGCCGGGCGGCCCGCCCAGTGCCGACCGCCGTGGATATAACGCTGCCTGCTATTATATTACCGAACCCCGAACCGAACCAAGTTCGGGTGAAATATTGCCGAACTCTGCCGAACCGAACCGAACACGAACATAGCGTCTGACTTACAGCACTACCTCTATGACCCTTGACCTTTGACCTACGTGCTCCAAAATGTAATCAGATTGTTTTCCTATAGTGATACACACTATCACTAAGTTTGAAGTTTAAATCTCCAGTGGTTCTTGAGATATCATGATAACAATCTCAATGTATGGAATTTCATAAGTTGACCTCTGTGACCCTTGACCTTTGACATACGTGCTCCAAAATCTAATCAGATCGTCTTCCTATGGTGATACATACTATCCTTAAGTTTGAAGTTTAAATCTCAAATGGTTCTTGAGATATCGCGCTAACAAACTCAATACAAGGAATTTCATAAGTTGACCTCTGTGACCTGTGACCTTTGACCTACGTACTCCAAAATCTAATCAGATCGTCTTCCTATGGTGATAAATACTATTCCCGAGTCTTAAGTTTAAATCTTAAATGGTTCTTGAGATATTGTGATAACGGTCAAACGGGACGGACGTACGGACGTACGGACGGACAACCCGAAAACATGATGCCTCCGGCACCACCTTCGGTGGCGGAGGCATAAAAAATGGAGAAAAAATACAGATAGGCTTGACATAAGTATCGGGGGATTGGTAAGGGAACTGGTAAGGATACTGAAGTCAGAAAACAGTTTTTGAATATGTGATACAATGGGTTATTCTAGAAAGAAAGTTAGACAACTTTCCTCCACACGAATGCAGATGTACAGTGTACATATGACATCTTGTAGAACCACTTTCATCATTATCATCTTATGACTTGATACTATGAGGGTGAGTGGTTTGTAGAAAGAAGTTTTCATAGTTTTTAATGAAAAAATACTATTTCTGATACAGATTCTGCATCCCTTTTATTAACAATTTTGAAGTCATCTTCCAGTAAAATGCTTTCCTTGGTTGTGGCTGTTCTTCTAACTTATGAGCAAGCAATCATTATTCAATCACTTTAGGGAATGAACTTAACAAAAATATTGCTGAGAGATGATTTGCTAGGTATCGGTGCAAAGCTTGTAAACTTAACAATTTCAATAGTAGCTGGATACATGTACATTAACAAAATAAATCATGCAGTTTTTTAAGTCAATGTATGAAATAAAAAAGAATTGAGAATCTTACATGCAAATTACAATCTTAATGTTTTCAAAACTGCTGACCAATCCCTATATTTAAATGTACTTAATAAAGAAATTTTAACATGTCAGATAATAAAATATATTTAGAAAAGAAATGCTTGCTTTAAGGTAATGTGGGTCATATTTATATGTGGTTGAATCTTTGCGCATTTTACATGCAAGCTGACGAAGATGATAGATTTCTTTGCTCAGCATTGGATTTAATGACGACTGGCCCTGAGCTGCATTTACATGTAGCTAAATTCAAAACAAATTATCTTTTGAAAAGAAGGGCATCAAATAGATTGTACAGTGAAAATGTAGACTGAAAGAAAGGCACTGGCAAAAAGAAATATTCTGGTAAAATTTTGACAGGTGGCCATTTACGAAACAGACAGATTATAAAGACCTCTTTACAGCATTTTTTTTTTATTTGAAATAAATAATTTTTGGCTGGTTTCAAATAAAAAAGAATATATAACTTCAGATCTGATTGATTAATGTCTCTTTTTGGTCAAGATTCAATCAATTAAATCATTCTAATCTGCATGCACTGCATACCTGTACCTGTTACTGGAGGGGCCCTTGTACAAGCTGATGATGTAACCAATAACCACATGGATTTTTAGTAAGGAATGCTTCTTATTCTTATTCAAATGCTCCTAATAATAAAATTCATTTGTTGTAGCATACTCCCATATATTGCTTTTTTGCTGAAAACAGTGATATGTTCTACAAAATTGGCTGAATATAAACAAAACAAAATGGATCTTATCACAAATGCTCTTTTATCATGGTTGCATTTTGCTACCATTAACCAATGCATACAATGAAGGATTGGTTTTCAAATGGAATTTATAATAATGCTCTTGTTGAGAACTAACAAGTTGCACAGCTAGAGACTACTTACTAAGTGAATAAAGCTATTGAAGTAGCACATGACAGCTAGAGACTACTAAGTGAATAGAACTACTGACTTAGCACAGCTAGAGACTACTTACTAAGTGAATAAAGCTATTGAAGTAGCACATGACAGCTAGAGACTACTAAGTGAATAGAACTACTGACTTAGCACAGCTAGAGACTACTTACTAAGTGAATAAAGCTATTGAAGTAGCACATGACAGCTAGAGACTACTAAGTGAATAGAACTACTGACTTAGCACAGCTAGAGACTACTTACTAAGTGAATAAAGCTATTGAAGTAGCACATGACAGCTAGAGACTACTAAGTGAATAGAACTACTGAATTAGCACAGCTAGAGACTACTTACTAAGTGAATAAAGCTATTGAAGTAGCACATGACAGCTAGAGACTACTAAGTGAATAGAACTACTGACTTAGCACAGCTAGAGACTACTTTATAGTGAATGAAACTATTGAACTGCAATTTATGGATGAGCACTTTAATGAAATGGTCTGAGAGTGAGACTAATCTTGCAATGAAAGAAGGAGTTAAGACACATGAAGACAATGAGATGATTTAAACCTAAATACTGTAAAAGTGGTGATGAGACTATTTTTTCAAACTGCATAAGTATTCAGTTTTTTGAAAATCCTATTCTGTGCCACTAGTTTTATGAAAAGTACACGCCAATTACCGGTACCTTACAATCACGTATTTGGTAAGGCCTAGTTCAGATATGACGTGGCTAAATTCTCGCTACCCCAAATAGCGATTCTGCCGAGATCCGGGGAAAATCCTGAAAACGCGCATTGCATTATGGGATAGCTTTTCGACATTACAGCTTCCTGTGCAGGCGCTATATTACTAGGCGCGATAGCGCAAACGTAAAACGCCGTCGCCACACAACGTGTATGCACCGAATATGTCGTCTGCTCGGTCTTGTTTTTTTTTCGCAAATATTTCAACGTTTATTTGAACATTTCATTCGTTGTTTTTTGCGTCTTTTGACATCAGTGACAATGGTTTTCTTTTGTGAGGCTGCACAGTGCTGGGCTCACGATTTTAGCGTGCGTGAAAACTCTGCACAGCGAACACAGGCGCTAGCGCCAGCGGGATGGGACTCTATACCGGAAGTTGTAGTGACGACCCGAGAGAGTGAAAATTACCTCGTCTCGCGAATTTCAAGATTTTCGTACCTATTTAGGGTAGCGAGAATTATGGATCACGGGTGTATAACTATTTTGATCAGCTTTAGCAAACCACACGTTGGAGTGGTCGCCCTTCTGCGTCGTTGTGAGCCCCCCCCTAGGTGTTTATAGTAGGGGTGCATTCAGGCGGACACTGTTTCACCCAAGAAACATGTTTTTCAAAGACGTTTAGTTTAAAACATGGTTGCGTTCAAGAAATTTTTTGTGGGTCGTGGCCCGTTTCCGGTTTGACCGACAGTGGACCGTAAACACAGACAGTAAGCATGCGGTGAAGTTGGCCTATACTTCCTGGGTCAAACTGCACAGTGTGATGAGCAGCGACTGGGCTTGAAATGAGCGAGAATCAGCGTTGATGAAAAATTGCTTGAACGCTTTCCCGCAGTAACCGTGTTTTTTAACGGCGTTTTGATTTGTGATTTTAGCTTCAAAAAATTGCTTGAACACACCCTAAGCTAATGGAAAGGTGTTGGAAGGAAAGAGACTTACTGGAACCAGCTGGTGAGGGTCATCATCATGTAGAATGCAGCGAGCATGAGCATGATGTGAAAGAAGGTGTAGCTATAGGAAACGGTGTCCTCCTCATTATCATACACCTCTTGGCCCCACTTCTCTGCGTCTCCATCAGCAGGCTTGGAGTCACCTGGAAGAGAGGGGAATGGATGGGTGGGTGGAGCGTGAAGTACAGGTTAATATGACCCTCAGAAGTAATCTGATAACTGCATTTATTTATCTCTGTCACACCTCCAAACCGACTCCAAATCCACCAATTCCCGCCTGTTTGGTGATTGCAATATACTTGTATCATTGGTCAATTGTGGTTCTGGTGTCAATCACATTGGTGTGCTAATGCAAGATGCATCAGAAAAATATCTGGGGAAATTATATTTTCAAGATTAACTACATGTTCATTCACTGTCCAATGATACTTGCTATCACTGTACATATGGGACAGAAAGTGACCAAATACCTGTATATCTTTTCCCCAAAACATACGTATTGGTAAAACCAAGAAACCAAGACTCATTGGATTCTGTATCCAATCATCATTTTTTTAAAATCAGCCTTCAAAACCATGATCCTCAAAGCAAAAAGTAATAGAACGTTAAAGTGGAATGCAGGCTGGAAATCACAATTAGAATCTTGTCAGATTTGATCTATATTAGTTTACCATTCAACTCTGTTCAAATTACATAATATAATTATGTATGGAGCTGTTAAAAAGTTCTTTCCACTTGTGTTTTAACAGTGAAACTGTGAAGAGATATTGCAATTTGCAACTTTCCAAATCATTGTAAGCACATCCTTACAGACAAATAATCTTGTTTGTTACCAAGGTAACAAAATATCTACACAAATACTTACCACCGCTTGAATTGGTTGATCCAAGCAGAGTTTTCTGTGGACAGAAGTAAGAAAAATATCAAATGGTTACACTTTATTGATACTATGTATCGTTCTCATTATCAACTGAAAATCATGTTGATGGGTAATCTAAACATGAAATAAAATTCTAAGATCTGATTGGATGCTCGGAAACATGCAGTCCATTCACAGGAAAGGCAGACACCCAAAAGTTTTTAGCAACATGTTCTAAACAGATGTATAAGGGGGTAAACATGGCAAATCACCTGTTGATTGTAATACATGTAGATTCATAAGTGTACACATATGTAGAAACTCTACATGGGCAGGTATGCAATAACATGTAAAAGCCATAATTACCACTTTCTTTGGAAACAAATAATGGTGTAGCAGGGTTAAATTTGATAGGGATTGGTACACAGAGCAAGGCTGGAGAATTATAGAAATCATTGCAAAATTATTTACAGCTCCTTAAAAAAATCTGGAAAACTGGATAAAAAGTAATTCAAGTAGGGTAAATGTAGTTTTCTATTGATACAGGTACATCATGAATGAAAAGCTTGCAAACACTTGACTGGATGAGCATTAACACACTGAAAATTCCATAAAAGAAGAAAACAGAAACGGAACAATGATATTAAAAGAGGTACACATACACCAAGTAATCCAAACACTTTAGAATACAGGAATGAATTTCTAATCAAACATTCTTTTCATAGAAACCCAACAAACATGCCAATTAAAATCCACCTGATCTACAGATGTATTAATTTTACTCAGGATATCAAAAGTTTAATATTTACATGTGCTGACGTGTTCCCAAACAAGTCATCTCAAATGGATAACTAATATTTGCTACATTGTACAATGTACATAAATAATGTACTTAAAACCATGGACTTTTGGCACAGCTCTTTTGCTCAGCAAATAAAATATATTTGAACTTTATAATGCGACCATGAGTATATTGTACAGAGACCTCTTGTTGGACTAAACAACTTTGTTCTTCACTTTATCAAATTGAATAATATTTGTAAATTACTCTGAGAAAGATGATTATATTCATTAGAAGTTAGTCAAAGGAGAAGAGAGCAAGAAAATTGACAGTTAAGAAATAAGTATCTTTATTTGAGAGTTGAAAGCCATTTTGGTAGCTGCTTAAATTATGTGGCATACATTGCAGAGAATCTGATGTTTTATTGATTTCTTTTTTTCTTCTTTGAAGAAGATGTTGAGGATACATCAATCAATGTCAATGTTGTATCAACATTTGTTTTATGATACCTAACAGACTTGTGGAAGAAGGGAAGGGTTCATACCTGGGACCCATTTCACAAAGCCTTTTTTCAATGACAAATGACAAAAATCAGTGACAAATCTGTTGACAACCAATCAGAAGCAAGGATTTCAGTAGCTTATAAACAAAAACTGTCATTTTTCACTGATGACAAGTTTTGTGAAACACCCCCCCTGGTTATTACCTTGGTTTAAATTTTATATCTAACGGAAGATAGTGTACTGTATGTATTGTAGAGTTGGCAAATTTATTGACATGAAGATATTTGTATTGGGCATGTTAGTAAAATACACAACTTGCATTATTTTAGGGTTGTATAAGAAAGAGTTAGGCTTTTTTATTTTGGTTGCAATGTACATGTATCTTTGTATGCATGTTAAGAGTTAGGCAAAGACATGTACATGTATGTCAACCTGATACACTGTCAATGTTCATGCTTTTGGCCTGATGATTAATGCATCATGTTTATTTTTACATGATCTAGCTTTGTTCGAGGCTTGTATAAGAAAGAGTTAGGCATTTTTATTTTGGTTGCAATGTACATGTATCTTTGTGTGCATGTTAAGAGTTAGGCAAAGACGTTGAACACCATCGTGCGTCTTTAATGACTGTACATACATTGTACATGTATGTCAACCTGATGCACTGTTAATGTCTATGCTTCAGGCTTGATGACTAATGCACCATTTTTATCTTCACATGATCTAGGCCACTCCTAACTTATTTCAGCATACACCCATTTTACTTTACATTGTACATGTACATGTAGTAGTGCAGTACAACAAAATGTACCGGTACTTCATTTGTACTTATCATTAATACATTATCTAACATTGCAAGCTTGGGCTTGTGTTCTACCCAAACTTGGCACAGCTTCTCTAAACTTGACTGATAGAAGATTTCTTAGGTTCTGGTACTGTAATACAGATTGTGTAGCACAATGTTTTCATATGTGTCAAATTACTTCTTTTTCACCTTACCCCCCCCCCCTAAAAAAAAAAAATGGTCCCTTCATACACCCTCTGAATAACAAATTTAATTCATACTAATTCATGTACACCCCCTGTCCATGTACATGATGTGGAGAAGAAGAAAAAAAGAGAAAGAAACAAATTTAGTTGAGAGAAAATTCATGAGTGTTGATGGCTTTCACCAAATGAATGTGTGAGATGAGTAAGTGCTCCATCACCTACAGAGTATATTTATGTGTGATGATTAGAATGGTTTAGAATGGTTAAAAATGGTTGCTCCAGCTGTCATAAATGTCTGTTTTCTTTGATCCTTCCAAGGAGTATGAATCTTCTTACCTCATTGGTTCCATATTGTAGATTGTCCTAAATGTTAAGTGTGTGAACAAGATGTGTGGAAATGGTTAGCTAAATAGACTGATATGACACAGCACGAAAGCTAGAAAGTGAGAACTATATTATTTAGAAGATCAACTCCTCTTCAGAAAATACAAAAAGACTGCAGATCTATGACCATCTCTCTAATTCTAAAGTTTCTGACTAAATGTTGGCTTAAGATTTTTGAATCTTTATTGAGATACACAAATAACTATCCCTTGAATGAGGCTCCATATCAGTAGGTAAATGTACATTTGTGTATAAGAGAGTGGCAGAGATGAAAGCAGGAAAGAATAAAATGAAGAAGGAATGTGCAGTACATCAAAATAAGGGTCAGTGTCAAACGTGAAAAGTAATAGAATCCACTGAAAAGCACTGGTATTGTTATACAGTGCACTACACAGTATGATATGATCTACAATCTTCTTTGGGTATCTTAACCCTAATAAGGCCGGGCTATTTGAGGTCTTAGTATGGCCGGGGGGGGGGGGGGGGGGGGGGGGGGCCCTTAAGATCTCGGCCACAAAGCGGCCAATCGCCGCGAAAATTTGCACGCATGTTAAGTGAAGTGTATAGAATAATATGATAATCTCAATTTTTTGAAAAATTCACTCATTTGCATATTTATGGTAATTTATGCAAATAAAGTCATAAAACTCACATTTTTACTCATAAATCATATATTATTCATAATTAGGCATTCTTTTTCACTACATATATTCATTAGACCATTTTGAATAATACAACAACAAAAATTTGGAAAAGCCAGCTTATTCCTTATGTTATCCCTTGTTTTGATAATTTCTTATGTATTTCATTGTTTTTTTTAACTTATGTATTTCATTGTTTTTGTTGTAATTTCTTTTCTTACTACAACTCAACTATTTTGACACCCAAAACAACCACCTAAACTTTAAACAAGACCCAATAACCCATGTTTGATCTGTTTTTAGGAAAAATGACTTTTCAATATGTTTTGTACACAAATCACGAAAATGAGCGATTTTCGGGCTGACATGGAAAGACAAAAGGTCACGTGACCACAAGGTCCAATTTTCAAAAAAAATTCTTTTAAAAGTTGCACAAGACTCAAAAGAAAAAAGTCAGCGAGTGGCGGAGTGCCATGGGCCATAATGGCCCCCCCCCCTGGCCTTATTAGGGTTAAGAACAGTTTCCTGACAATGACTCAGCCCAGATCAAATTAATCTATTAAAGAATATATTATGGAGTGAATATATCATGGGGTGAATATATTTTGCACTAATAATATGCATGATGTACAAGTGTAAAATTTATTTAAATAATAAGTCAATTTTTATATAATCCATTATTAATACATTCAAAAATGAAATGTTTTACATAAATGTACTAAGTACAAAGTTAGTGTATCTAACGGAGCACAAATTTATCTGGTAAATCTAATACAAATGACAGGAGCTGCCATATCAGATCTTATATTGTAGAATTTAGTAAAAAGGAGCTCTTAACCAGTGCAGCTGAATATATTTTGTATAAAAGCTGCGCTATATAAATTTATTATTATTATTATTATTATTAATTTTTCTCAGAATATAATTCATAAATGGCATTAGTGAATAGTTAAACTAAAGCATTCTCCTAATGGTTTCGTGCTGCATACTCCAATAGCAAGCATACTGTAGCAATGTTGAAAATATCTCTTGTCAGCCAACAAAAAGAGTTAAAGTCACATTTTGTTGTAGTCTCAACTCTAGAACAAGAAAGCAAAACGATTTTCTACAACTACAAAACTTAAGGCTTGACAATTAAGAATGAAGAACATCCTTTACTTAATGATAAAGAGTTTACATAGAGATGAGTATTTTGGGGGAAATCTTTTGTGCCTTTTATGGCCTCTTTCCATTTCAATGTTTACATGTCTTGTACATACTGAAAAGAAGGAAATCCCAGAAACTGAACAAAAGAAATTAAATTTATGCTACTTTAATCCGGTTTCCTTTCCAATCTTTTTCCCAGCTGCCTCTTTATCCTGTAGAATCTGTGAGTCATTCATTACCTTGACACATTTTAAACATTTGGTTTCATTATTTGCACAAAAATTGAAACTAGACACATGAATTGAGATGCTTCAATTAACATGAATAAAATCTACACGGATATGATTATCTATTAATTTTAATACCGGTAATTGAAAACCACATTGTGTGCATGAGAATGAAGCACATGACAAATATAATTTATGTCTGGTGGCTCAAGGGGTCACTTTGATTATGCAAAGAACACGAACATAAAACAAGGAAGTTTACACCTGTCTACATGTAATAATAATAATAATAATAATAACTTTTACTTATATAGCGCTTTTCATAAAACATTTATATCAAAGCGCTTTACAATATTGATACAATTAAAACTAAACAGAGTAATGACAAGAAAACAAATATAAAGTGAAATTATGAAACATAAGATAACAAGGTAAGGTAACAATATAAGAACTAGGTAACAATTTAAGAACTAGGTAACAATTTAAGAGCTAGGTTGAATATGCATTTTCCATTAGGTAGGTTTTTAATTTTGATCTAAACAAAGTAATATCAGAGATGGAACAAATGGAGGCTGGGAGAGAATTCCACAGACGTGGAGCAGAGCATGAAAAGGACCTATCACCAAAGTATTTTGTTTTTGCTTTTTTAACGGTCAAGAGAGTTTGATTTGCAGAACGAAGGGGCCTATTGGGTGTGTATAATTGAATCAGTTCAGAAAGATAATTTGGGGCATGACCATGAAGAGCCTTGAAGGTTAAAAGAAGAACTTTGAACTGGACGCGAAATTGAATGGGGAGCCAATGCAATTGTTTAAGGGTTGGTGTAATATGGTCATGTTTTTTGGTGAGAGACACTAGACGTGCTGCAGAGTAATGTAATGTATAATGGTGGTAATATTAATACTTTGTGAAGATGATTGAACTGTAATCTGGTCATTGTAAACATGTACATTTACTTGATGTGTAGTAGTAGTAGTAGTAGAGGTGTTGTGGTCGAGTGGATACGTCGCCGGACTGTCGATCACAAGGTCCGCGGTTCGAGTCCTGCCGCTGCACTAATGTCCTTTGGCAAGACATTGATCTACATTTGCCACACTCCACCCAGGTGAAGTAAATGGGTACCTGGTAGGAATTTATTCCTTGAAACGCAGCGCGCGTAACAGCTGCACTGCTAAAGCCAGGGTAATTATGCTGCATTATTGTAGAGCGCTTAGAGACTTCTGACAAAGTAAGTGTTAGGCGCTATATAAGCACTGTAATTATTATTATTATTATAGTTTGTCATTATTATGAATGAGGTTCTTCTACTTAGCATGTTTACATGATAGCATCATGGAAGTGCATAATCATTGTACATATTTGTACAGGATGCATGAGGAAGGTAATTTGGTTTCAGACGTGGAGAAGTAACCCAACTAACTGAGCTAGTGTGGACTGATAATTTTTTTTAAATCACCTGGTGCAGTGCTCGACACTGACAGGCAACCTAAATCTAAGTCCTTACCCCCAAATTTGAAAATATTTTTTTTACATAGGACTCATACATACCGGTACATAATCTAAATTTTAAATCTGGAACCTCTTCCAAACAAAATGAGTGTGGAGTCTGCCTTTTGAATAAATTATTTTTGGACTTCAAATCCATTAATCCTTGAGATATGATGATGCAATCAAAATGTTTTGGGGAAAACAAGGAAACAACAATAATATTAAATCATTGTTTATGTATCTGGTATATAAACGGAAGAGAAAATTGAATCATCCAGTATCTATTTGTCCTCAATAATAACAAACAATGACACTGGACTGTCAGCACTATTTGATACTAATACAAAGCAAATACCTCAGACCAGCAGACCACAATAAACATGTGTCATTAAAAACCAATATACAATGTACAGTATATAGATCAAAATCAAATCACTGTCATGTTACTTATATACTGAAGCTGTTCGTAACATGAACATTTTCAAGACTTTTCTTTGTTATCCATGTATGTAGAACAATCTTTATTGTGCTGTCATAATTTATAACAATTGAAAAGAATGTTTACTAGCTACACTTATATGTAAATACAAGTGGCAGATCTGAACCTGGGTTAAAAAAAGGTCAAATCGCTTCCTGTAACACAATGAGTTAGGCAGTTTAAATGGATTATACTCTTCTAACTTTCAGTCTGAGTCACTTATTTGTTCAGGTTTGCAAGTATGTTTATTGTAAAGTACTAAGACCACAGGAGAACATGTCACTAACACTGCATCATGATTGTTTGCTCTAAAAAAAAATACTTTGTAATGGTAGGATTGAAATAAAAACATTCAGAATAGAATAGAGATTTATTCTTTTTACAGCCTTCAGCAACCACATATGACTCACAAAGTGTATTTGTTTTGACCAACAACAAAAATCCCACATTTTGAGCAGTATTAAAAAATGATGAGATTGACAAAAAATTAGATGAATAGTTCCTCTAGCTCACCATTTCTGAGATAAATGAATAAAATTGATTTATGCCCTTGGGTCTGATAGGGACTGATCCATCAATAAAGTATTTCAAAAGAACTGTTATTCTACCCCCCCCCCCCCTCACCTCTCTCTCTCTCTCTTTCTTTCTTCTCCCCCGTTTCTTTCTTTAAATTTTTGGTACAGATAACACAAGGTAGCTTGCATACGGTTGACCGAATTTTACTCATCACGATTCAACACAATTAACAATACCACTAGTATAATGGAGATTCAGAAACCATCGAGCACTGTAAAACACATTTCCACTTCATTTATCTCATTTTCGAGCTTTACATGTTGAGTAAACAGCCCCCCCCCCTAAAAATTACCACTTTACATCTAAAACTTCATTTAACTTAAAGTTTGGAAATCTCATATATCTCATGAGCATTAATAGACATTAGTTAATTGCAAAACAGATTTTCAAGCTCGCCCATTGACAATTGCCCCAAACCATTGAGTTGTTTCATAACTTTGTCTGCTTGTGACAGTGAATTAATTGGACTACCGGTAGTATTGTTGTTTGGGTATACATCATGTACATATAGTGTGAATATTATCAAAGAATACTCATTGACTCCTTGTATCTACATTGTAAATCTACTAGCATGTATCTCCAATGAAAAATCAATGTCCGGTTTCTCAGATACTACATGTAGGTAAATTCAGTAAGAACTAGGTAAATCCAGTTAGAACCGGATGAGGATGGTTGACTTCAGTGTATACATCTGAATTTACTCTTCCCATACAAGCTAATAATGCCACACTTGATTGAATGCTTTATCAAGTCAGATGGAAGAAAAGATTCCTCTTTTTATCATGGTTTGTTTCATGTCCTTGGGGGCGCACTAGAGAGTGCAGATTGTCAACATCTATTCATTAAAATATAGATACATGATGTAATCTACATTCAAATTCCCACAGTAATTCCCCTTAGGTATGGATTAGTGCACATGTACATGTCGCTTAGAAGGTAAAAATATTGAAAATCAATTACAAAAATGAGGAAATCTCTTTGAGAAAAACAACCTTTGCACATTCCCTCCCCAAATTGAACAATTCATTCAAAAGACTTTACAAGAAACATCTTCTCTCTCTTTATATGGTAAAAATTATTTAAGACCATCTATTATTTATTATTATCTCTCAAACCAAATTGGAACCCCCTTTTTTCCCTGTTTTTTTCTAAATTTATAACATTGAAGAAAGAAAGAAGATTTGGAATAAAAACTGGTTTTTAATACTAGAATAGAAGTTAAATTATTACACAAATAACCTACACACATTTGAGAAGAAACATTTCTCATTATACCATGGGTCAGATGTTTCCATCTTTTCATTGATCTCTCTATATTTCTCTCTCTTTCTCTCTCTATTTCTCTTGCTCTCTCTCTCTCTCTCTCCATATATCGATAGTTCCCCCTATATTTCTTCTTTCTCTACTTTTCTACATACTTAATATAAAGGTTTCTGCCATTCAATCTTTTGATCAATCTATCCATAAACCAAAGGTTACTTCGAAAATCATAATTATGTAGCTGAAAGTAGGCACAGTTAAAGCTGGAAGAGGTAGTGATAAGATAAGAATTGTCCATACATACTGTAAGAAAGTAAAATGTAAGGATAAATAAAAAATACATGACCTATACAACAGGGGATACCAGATAAAGGGGGGGGGGCAAGTGCAAAAGGGTCACACAAGTACATGTAGACCTAGATTTGGATTATTAGTCATGTTCAAAATGTAAACAATAGGCCTCATACAAAAGTGTCTAATCAAGTCTAATCGTAAGGATACACAGTGATGCATTTTCCTGTTGTACTGCATGCTAAATCCCAACATGCACATGAATGGACACTGAACACACATTAAGCAATGCTTTATGTACAATATATATTCATAATCTATTCATGATCTTCATGTACACATGTATACATGATCGTATGTATGTATGTATGTAGATGGAATGTAAATACATGTATTTCCCACCTAACCTTTCATATGTGCAAGTACACTGGATGTAAATACTGGAGGGCAAAGTGTATATATTAACAATGTCAAAGGAATCTTGAGGTAAAATGATATGTCAACACAAAACTTGTTTCTTGATTTGACAGGCGATTCACAGTGTACAAGTGAATGTGTTGATAATGTACATGTAATGTAGATGTTCATGTATGCCACATAATTCAAATGACAGCCACAATCGTGGAAAGGAATAGAGTCACCACTTACATTTCCAAACTTTAATAGCAGAAGAGAGGAGGCGAAATGTATGAGTAGGTTTATTAGAAAAGAGATAAAACAGAAAATCAGTAATGGGGTATTATAGCATAAAGTACTTACAAGATGGTCTAAGATCAATTTGACAAACTTGTCACTCTAAAATATTTACTTCAACTGCCTCTGTTTTTAACTGACTTTCCAAGAACTATAAGAATCTGTGATAACCAATAAAATATGTTGCATATTGGGAGTCTGATATTCTAAAAGAGCACATTTTACTGTGACTTTTCTTGGCTTTGAAAATTGCATGTACATAACTTAATGGCATTTCTATCACAGGGAAGTAAAGATAAAAGGGTTATCTCCTTGCCAAGCTTAGAAAGTGGTTTGAAAAAGAAAAAAACAAAACCCTCTGAATTTCTTGAATTTTCCTCATTATTAACCTCTTAAATGTAATGGGAGAGTATGTATGTGTGCAACTATTTTATTAGCGAGAGTTTGCCTTTTGCCTGATCAGCAGGAATTTGAAGACCTATGTCATAATAAAAGCTTCACTTTTTCCTTAATAAAAAGTGAGGATTTAGAAGGATGTTTCCATTTGTATAATATGATCTCTCATTCTGCAATATATGTACATACAAAATAATGCTTCATTTTCAAGTATCCAAAACAAGATGGAGCAAAATCGGTTTGGGTTAAAACTTGAAAATACAAAAACTCAGTTTTTAGGTGAGCTGTTGAAAGGAAACCATGACATGTTACATGCAAAAGGAGATAGATTCATGAGAAATCAGGCAACAATTAAATTACATACCTCACTGCCAGTCAGCTTTCCAACGTTGTTGGTGCTTGCAGTACGGATGCTGAAATATTAAACAGAAATGGTAAATAAGAATCTTCACTACCACATGCATCTACAGGTAAATCCATTTACTCTAAGGATAGAGATAGAGAGAGAGAGAGTGGCCAATAATTTATGATAACATACGGTACATCTACATGTTCATCTCCATCATATCTTTGCCACTAGTTAGTAACTGCTTTAGCAAAAACCTATGACTTGTAATCTCTGGCGACCCCAGACAGAAAATCTCTTTGTTGCAGTGTACTCCCAACCTAAAGGTACATGAATGTTCCCTATCACACAGACATCACAAAAAGATAAAGTAAATACAGTGACAAAAAAAACAAAGGAGCAGAAAGTGCTTAAGCCCTGGAAAGCTCTAGTAAAAAAAAAAAAAATACACACATATACAAATCAAGATTAAATCTAACTATAGAAAATATAAAAGAGCCTCCGTAAACAAAAATATATTTTCTCACTGCAGGTAATATACAAATAATGCACTGCAGTGAGGGCATTAGTAAGAATGACCAAAACAAGGATCCACGTCATCATTTTATAAAGACTGATATTGTGCGAGGCTCCATTGCCTACTTACCATGCGTAGATAAGACAGATAAGCCAGATAGCAAAGCTAGCCCAGTTCTCTGCTGAGCCCACATCTTGGTTATGTACGTTGGTATTATTACCAGAAGGACCTATAGTCTGAATGATGGTTGTGATGCTGGGGTTGCAAGCTAATAATAAAGAAAAGAAACAGACGTAAAAGGATCAATTATGGTTACAAAACTATTGTTTTTGAATTTCTTTAGTTGTGTTTGAATGTGTACTTGGGCCCCGTAACACAAAGACAAAGTTTGTGAAATTGAATGATTATACAATTTATTGCTATTAAAGCTTTGTGTTATGGGGCTCTACTGCATTTATCCGTAAAGCTGGTGGAAAGCATGAAGTTGTGATTGAAGGTTACCTGAATTCTAGTAATAAAGGAAATGAAAACTTGACAAGTTCAAACTTAACTACAGAATATTCATCACTACAAGTAAATGATATCTATCCCAATGATTTGGGTTGAAAAATCAATCTTAAGAGTGTTAAAAGAATAGGAACCTTCAGATAGTCATCCTAACTGCATTCTGAACATATAGATGGCTCATTAAAGAGAATGGGGTTTCCAGCATGTTGTTGTTAGTTTATTTACAACCAGCATAATAATAATTATACAAAAATAACAGACCTTCCACAATTTTGTTCTTGCTCCCTCCCTCCTTCTTGTAAGCAAATAACTACCGTTGGTGAAGGTGATGGGACAAACTATCACTTCTGAGGCGATCTGGATGTAGCTATCTTTCCGAAGCAAAGCTGAGGAAAGATAGCATATCCATTCAGATCGCCGAGAAATGATAGTTTGCCATCGCCTGAAATCAAAAGGTGATTTTTTGCTTTATATTCCACATCAGAAACATTTCACTTCTTCCATCATTTTAGAGCAACAAGTCATCAATTAACAGCTAGCAAACGGTGTATGATAAGTACAATGCATGCAGTATGGTGGTGCATGTGACCACATAGTTCGCGCGTGGCCAAAGTTCTCGTATTAACACTAAAAGCGCTTAAAGAGGAGAGCAATACGCAGCGTATACAATTTAAGTACGTTGTACTGTGTACATAGGACTTCTATCTTCAGTGAAAGAGCGTTGCACTGTGTAGATAGTAGCCTATCTACACAGTGTAACAAACTTTTTGCTTCTCACAGCAATGAAGGGCGAACTATCTTTCATCACATGATTTACTTTTGACCAATCGTAGAGCAAGATTCTTAGTATGTGACCAATCGTAGAGCAAGATTCTTAGTATGTGGAATATAAATATACATATAAACTAGATTAATACAGTTTAGAACTCACTATCATCAGGGTTGTTACTCATGGCAGACCAGGTAAGGTACATGGTGTACATGGAGATCACAGCAGACTGGAGAAGACCAGATCGTGGCATGGCTGAACACAAACAAACAAACACATAGACAGTCAAATATAACTAAGTTTTAATCATACATCACATTCGTATATTGATCTTAAGGAGATGTAGTCATTGGTACACCAGTTCCTCATATTTTGCACTAAATTGAAGAAAAAATGTGTACACAGGTCCACTTCATAACTATATACTGTTAGATGAATGAAACATATTCCAAAAGATATTTCAAGTTTTGTATTAACTGAAAAATGAATCACAAAAAGTGGACTTTAACCGTTTTCAATTTCTTAAACATGGACAAATCAAGTGTAAGTGAGTGGGGGTGGAGTGAGAGCTTCCCTCCCCCCAAAATTGTCCTGCTCAGTAAAAGAAAGAATTCAAATTGTATGCAACCCCTTTGAGCAAAGTTGATCTTGAACAACCACAGCAATGCCGGGCATAGCAACGTCCAATGCATATGAGATGAATTCAATCCATAACATCCATGCATCCTAATGAAGTTGCTAAATAATTCATCACCAGGATGAATGAAGACAGTAAATTATGGAACTTAAGGAAATGAAACAAGCTATATTAAAACAAACGAAAATCACTATTATGTCTGACTATTGTTTTATCATCACCATATTTCTGTTCTTTGTAAGCTTTGTCTAACCCTTTATTTTTACATGTGAGCAAAACGAATATCCATGTCGAACATATATAAAATACATTGAAATAAATTGAATTGAATAACTGTAAATAGCCATGAGTCATTTTTGCTTTGGAATGTGTTGTACCTTCCTGGACCTTGGGTAAGATGGAGATAACAGACATGACCACACACAGAACCAGGTTGAAGCTGATGAAGAACTTGTGAAGGGAACACTCTTTCTAAAAACAGAGAGAGAGAGAGAGAGAGAGAGAGAGATGAACAAAAAAAGATTGAAGGTACATGTTATCTAAATTTCTGGTAATGATGAAAATATTATTAAATCAATGCTAAAGACTATAATTAGATGATATCTGCCAAAGGAATCATTTTGAAAACATCCAAAGATGTCCTCAATTGAGATGCCCTCAGTGAGTAAATGGCTTCAGTGCTTGTAATCTGTCTAAGAGTCCATGATCAACATGTCTCGATAAACTACCTGTATATAATTGAAACAAGTTATTTGGACAAAGTAAACAGACACATATGCAGTATACTTGAACATGCCTTCAGCACAGCAACGGTTAGAACCTGAGCAGGTTGACACCATGGCGGGTTATTCACAAAGATCCTAAGTTGAACTTAACTGTGAGTTGGACTTAAAAAACTATGGAGAGCCACTTGTAGCCTTAAAGTAAAGTATATTCAAAAGCAAAAATTCAAGTATTTTAGACTTTTTATAAACTCCACATCAAGAACATGAAATCTCCTTGATAATAGAAAATATGAACAATTTGAATCAACATTTTATGCCTTTTAAAATAACTTTTACAAAATATTTTCATAGATGCTAATGGCTTTCCATAATGTTTAAGTCCAACTTAGAGTAAGTTCAACTTAGGATCTTTGTGAAACACCCCCCATGTTACAATTTGCTTCAGTATAAAAACTTACCCCAGTTCCAATGTAGAAGATGAAGAAGAGAATGAATCCAGTCAGAGCAATCAGATACATGACCACAGTGGACGACATCAATGCTACAAAAAAAAGATATTTGAATTGAACATATATTGCAATGAGGAAAACAAATCAGTAAAGAGTTTCTGATGTTGTATTCTGGGCCCTGTCTTACAAAGAGTTGCGATTGGTCCAAATCAATCGCAAGTCCTTCAATCAATCGCAAGTTTGCAGTCTTTTATGTCTTATTTTATTTATGTCTCATTTATGTCTTATCAATCGCAAATAAGTAGCGATTGATATCAACTCTTTGTAAGACAGGGCCCTGATGTATGATTTACGATGTGTTTGAGATGTAAATATCAAGACTAAATTGAGTTAAATAATGACTCAGTTGTAAGGTAAGCCAAGTTCAAATTAGCTTAGCTGGAATTCACTGGTTGTATCAAATACATATTAATATACAGACCCTACACGTATTTGTGCAAGTTTTGATGTAATATTTATTATTTGATATTCTTGTTACAAAAAGCCAGTTTTTCTTCATAAAAGTCAATCTGAGTTCATGATATCATTTAAAAGCATTTATATTCAGATGAAGAATGACACTGCATATTCATTGAAAACTTCTCTAATGAACTGGACTTAATTTAGTAACTTTTGTGTAAACTTTATGTTAAACACAGAGTGCAAATGACAAATATGCACTGTACATTGTCCATGTAGTCAATAGTCATGTGATGGGCCATTCCATGGTAACTCGCGTTACACCTAATGGGTACATTGACACGATAATGTGCCTATATCTTTAGAACTGCTAGGATCTACAAGATACTTTTTTCAAACATGGACAGGGTAGATATAGACCAACTGAATGAAACAAAAAAGAAAATTGAAGAACAAACATTTTTAGATTCTTGGATTATTGAATTTCGGTAACTCGCGTTACAAAAAAAGGACAATTCTATGAGACCCTCTTTTGGCAAAGTCTCCTCATACTAGACAATCTTGACAAAATCTTTCCTACTTTAATTTGATAGTAGGTTGTGACTTACTAAGATCACAATATTAAAGATAAGAAACAATGGACTAGTAAAATGCAGGAAGCAAATATGTCGGTAACTCACGTTACATTTTGTCCGTAGGCCATTTTCACCCCTATGTAATAGATTAAATATCACAGGACCCCTTAGAATATGGAAATATATTCATCTTTTTCCATTTAGCGAAATTTTCAGGAAAAAATATTACAAGAATCCTGTGTAATCGGCAATAAATTGTTTTTTTTTCATCTACAGTCCCACATGTACGTTTTTGATGATGGTTTGAGATCTTAGGAAATCAACAAAAATGAAAAATAAATTGTATTGAATTTGAAAGGCCCTAATGTTTTATGAACATCCATGGCATAAGGTTAGTGATAAATCAAAGAATTAACATAAGAGGTACATTTCTTTTTTTGATGTCATGTCCTTCTTCTCATGGAATGGCCCTGATGAAGAATTTAGTTTTGATACCTACCACAGTACCATCCCTTATGCTCTGTTTCCTCCATGCGACCGACCCAACTCTCATTCCAAGAGTGAGCAAAGTCCACCAGGAGAACCAACTGGATGATGATGAAGGCAAAGGCTCCAACCATCCCAAAGTACATGAATACTGCAGGTGCAAGGAAAGAAGGAAGAATCATGTCTCTAAAAATGTACCATAAATGCATTATAATTCCTCTGATTTAATGATATTACATTGTTATGTTATTTATGTTATTTGTAGTAACTTGTTTATGATATGTTAATGTATTGTTATATTTTATATAAATGTGAGTCGTAAGACAATTTTTAAGCCTTCCTTTTATTTGCGCATGACAATAGAACTCTTAATACATGTTGAAAAATCGGTCCATAATGTTAGATTATGTGAAGCAAAAGTTCAAAGCTATTGATGTTGTCCTCTAGTTATAACAATTTCTATCCAAAGAGTTATTGGTACAGTAGTACAAATATGATTCTTATTGAAAATCGATCTAAAGTTCCTCCTTCTTTCTATAACTTTTTATGAATATTTTTGTTCCATTGTACAAAATTAAGAAACAATTCAACTACATTCGCAATCTTTGAAGAGTATGATGTTCTTATTAAAACTCACTTTTCAACTGGTGTTCATTATATATCATCTGTTACAATAAATTTATCTACATTGTACATTTGATATTCTATAAGCATGGTAACTTGTGATAATAACTTTGGTATTTTCTTAATCACAAAGACATAAATTGCATAATTTGTGCTCATTTAGCTTAAATTCATTCTGTGGTTCTCTTAACTACTAACATTGTATATATTGTTTAAAAGGTACTAAGTCTATACATGTACATGTATCTGAAAAAGACTGACAGTATTTAAAGGCATCGTTTAACGATGTTAAATCTGAGATGCATGGCCCTACGTGTTATCAGTATCTTTGATATGGTGTAATATTGAAGCCCCAAAAAAATTGCGCTTCAAAATGATCATGAACTGCCTCAAAAAAGTAAAAATCTTTGAGTCCCCGATAGACTGTAGTGTTATGAAAACCATTAGGAAAACGCAAAATTTGATTTCGATTTTTCCAATCATAAATATCTTGATAATCAGACAGGTGATCGGCTTGTAAAAGTTATGGGGTTCCTGACTGACCTAAGATTTATAATTATCATTGCAGCATGAGCTAAATCCAGGATTTTGTTTCAGAATTTGAGACACAGTTACCCAATTCCCTCTAAGTGAACGGAAACACTCATTTACCGTTCTCAAATGATCCGTTGGGGATGAAGAAAGCTGCCACACACAGACCGCACATGACCAGGAACTTGAAAAACCAGAACCTTCAAGAGTTAGATAATGAAAGAGAAAGAGAAGGAAAATGAGATTTGTTACTGTATCCCTCGAATGAATTTGCTAAATGTTAATTACTTACAAAATGTAGATTTTCATTCATTAAAGCATGAGCATAATGATTAGACATTAACAATCTGTAAATTTTCTTTTTATGTGGGTAATACATGTATATTGTTTGTCATTTCATTAGATTAAAGGGGGCAGGGGGGGGGGCAAAATAATGAATAGCTGAGAATATCCAATTGCCCGTGATGGTAATGGTGATAAAGGCCAATGATGTGATTTAATAATGGTGCATTTTGATTGGGAGTATTCAAATATACTTTTATTTGTTTTCTTTATATAATCAATAGTATTTTCAATTATTTTTTCATTTATCATATTCGTTTTTAGACAGCAGTATCTTACTAAGGACTACTTCTGCTGCAGCTGCTGCTACTACTACTACAAGAAACTACATGTAGTCTCACATCATATCATACACAATTCTGAGTTGAGTTGTGACTGATTCAGATCAACTGGAAGTCTTTATATTAAAAACAGGGCAATTTATAAATGCATTTTACTATTTTTTTCCTCAAATACACACATGTATGTACAGTACATACCCATTCTGGATTGGTGAGCGTGGATCCTTGCTACTCTTCACATTGATCATGATGAGAGAGAGCAGGAAGAAGAAGGCAGCTACACCAAAGCTGACCCGATAGACAGAACGATAACCTGCCAATCTTTCACAGACCTCTGATGGAATCAGTTGACCAACCACAGCAACATCTTTGCATAGTAATGGCGACTAGAAAGAAAAGGAATCATAGGGCGGGGGATTAAGGTTACACTTACAGTCAAATATACAAATTTATTTCTGTGGTTTTTCTATTTGCAATAATCATGAACAAAATTAGAATAACAATAATAGTTACACTTATTACATTTCAATCAAAGAGCTTCACAAGCATGTACATGTACGTGTATTATAACCCCATCATTGGATTCCATTGTCATTCTGCAAAAAGTACTCCACTCTGAAGCATTCCAGCCAGTCACCATTTTAATCACACATGCTACTTAAAACACAAATACAAGATACAGACATACAAAATGTACACACCTGGGTGGATAAAAGCGATTATTAAAGATAAAAACGCCTCAACCGAGAACACAATTATGTACATTAAATGGAAGTGGGCCTAGAAGAGGGTTAATTCATAAGAATTCTTTTAAATGTGTGCATGTGTGTTTGGGTTTGTATGATTAGGAAGAGAACAAGAATAGAAGTACGGTAGTCCTGAGCAAGATAATAAGGAATTTTAGATTTGCGTGGACTGCTACGTGTGACATCCTTTTAAGGCACTGGCAGGGCCTTAAAAGGACGTCACACGTACCAGTCTACGTTGTCGTTGTGCAAATCTAAAAGTCCCTAATGGTGAGAGACTACTTACGTTAGACAGGGCCTGATCCACCTGAGGAATGAGGAACACGGCCGAGACGACGGCTCCAACCAGCAAGAAGAGACCATACACAATCCTGGTAGATGTGGAGTTCTTACATGATGGACAAGCTGAACAGCAGCAGGAGCAGGCCGCTGTGCCAAAGCAGCACGCCAACTATATACAGACAAAAAATAAAGTAGAATAGAATAAAAACTAATTTAACACTTTTAGTACTGCAGGCAGTGCACTTCAAACCACTAAAGTGAATGTACATGTACATGTACTTGTAGAATGTTAATAACATTTGAACTGTAAAAAAAAAGCTTTTCTAGATATATTTTGGTGCTTAAAATAAATCTTTTCTTCTTTCAAATGGGTTAATAAATGGACAATTTTGATGTACATGTCCTTGTGAGAAGGCTGACAGGGGCTCTTTATTTTGGAATAGCGCTCCGTGGACAAAAAATTAATTTGAGCCTTGATACATTGTGTACTTTTTGTAAACACTACATGTACATGCATGCTTCAATACAATTGCATATATTAACAATGGGGTGCGGGCGCACGCATGCATGAAGTTAGACATCGTAATGATGAATTAATTAGATGAATTTAATGAGGATCTGAGATTACAGTTGCTAACTTCACATACACTGTACGCGGCCGCTCGCACCCCACCGTTGGTAATTTGGTATGCACTTGTATTGTAAAGTAGTTGCTGTGAAATCTTTAAGAAATTGTATATTATCATGTCTTCGTTTAAAGGAAGAATACTTCAAAAAAAGATAAGAAAATTGACACAAAGCAGGTAAGTTAGAAACATAACCGAATAACGTCTTTTAAATCATGACCATTATTTTATTTGATTTAATATTTTGAACAATTGATGAAGATTTAATTGATTTTTGGTATGATTTAGTAGGGTACGTGTATCTCCGTGCCAGAGTCACAGATCAAAGTCTAGATATGATTCTGAACTAGCGCCCAGTGTAGTATGCTGTAAACCATGCATATATGGGTTGTTTTACAATCAGGGTACACAATAGAAAAACTCACTTTGATGGCCATTAAAACAAAAACAATGAACAGCATAGGAAATCTTCCTTGGTCAACTATTTGGCACCATTAGATCAACCTACAACAGCGAAGAAATTGTTTGAAACAAGCAACTACTTTTCAAAATATGTAATTATATGCCACTTTTTCACATTTTCGCTGTCTCGTTTCATTTTTTGCAAAGTTTGAACATGCGCATATCTGACATACGTACCCCAAATACATTATCAACTATCAGAATTATCTCTTCCAACAGGTCTATGTTAGATCTGAATAGGGTGTAAGATTTTGTCAAATCTACAAATTTTGACTTTGCACCATAAATGAGGTGCAAAAGGGGTCAAAAAATGTCCTCTCCGAAACCAGTGTAATAATTTTAAGTAAGACTGCACTCCATGAATTGTTTTTTCCTCCTTGAAAAGAGTCACTAATATCCTACAAAATTATGATATTAACATTTCCCACACTTACTCAGTTTTTGGTAAATGCGCGTTTCAAATTTGTTTGTCGGGGCGGGGTCAAAAAGTGTCCTCTCCGAAAAGGTGACATTTTTATCAGCACTCCTTCAAGAAGAGCCACATTTTGAAACCACCTTATGTTATTAGTAGACCTAACATTGTTTTATCATGTGCAATAGATAATGTTTATTTTGTTTAATATTCACACTGATTTTGAAGGTGTCAAACAAAATGTCCTCTCCGACCCATAATCAGTAGATGGATAAATGACTGTAATTACAGTCTACAAAGTGCATGAATTTACAAAAACTAGCCTGATTTTAATTCATCTTGAGGTGGGTATTACAATCTAACATCTTCCTGTTATTTAATGGGAGGTTTTTTAGTTCTATCCATTCACAAGCTACTTTCACCCCCTATAATTCCATGATGTAATGTATATCTGGAAGAATTAAGACTTTCCATCCATTTAATTGCATTTATTGTGTGTGTTTATACCTTTCCATGTAATCAGTACTGTTATTCAACTATACAATGGTGAATTGAGACTATGATTACCATCTATATACAAAGTCTCTTTGGTTTCGGAGAGGACAGTAGTTTTTTGACATATTTACATACTTCCATCATGAGTCTTCATATTCAGGTTTATCACATAGTGTAGAACAAGTAGGTAATTTGTTGCTGTTATACTATCGGGTGTGGGGATGTTATGTCTAGTCTATACACATTTCTGGTGGTAGAGATTTTGTGGTGGAAGAGATTGATACATCAAGTGAAGATGCAGTGAAATCTGGTCCACTTTACATTTATATCATCAAGTTCATGAATCATATACCGTACTTATATAGCACATATCACAATATGTATCTATGCGCTGTAAGAAAGGGTAAGAAGGAAAGGTGGATAGAGTAACATAAGAAGACTGAGATATGCTCAACATACTTCCTCCCGTTAACATTAAGAAATTGTATATTATCATGTCTTCGTTTAAAGGAAGAATACTTCAAAAAAAGATAAGAAAATTGACACAAAGCAGGTAAGTTAGAAACATAACCGAATAACGTCTTTTAAATCATGACCATTATTTTATTTGATTTAATATTTTGAACAATTGATGAAGATTTAATTGATTTTTGGTATGATTTAGTAGGGTACGTGTATCTCCGTGCCAGAGTCACAGATCAAAGTCTAGATATGATTCTGAACTAGCGCCCAGTGTAGTATGCTGTAAACCATGCATATGTGGCTTGACTTTTTTGTTTAGTTTCGGACTTTCCATTCAATTTGTAAGAGCTGCAGCGCAACTGCAGCTAGCCGACAACGAATGTCCGCCCTACCAATGCCGGCGCTAGTGTAGTTCCGTATCCATTTTTTTAGCAGTTTCATATCCATTCTTAGCAAAGGAAATTTAGCCCAATTTTTCACTAATTTTAATCATAATCATATATCACATTTTCCACCTGAATTTGGATCACATCCGACATCGGGAAACCTCCGTTTAGGGCTTCGATGTCGACGTCGTCGCTCAGTACCGTCTCTGCGCTATAGCTTTGCAACTCAAACTGAAGCTATCAGTCCAAAATTATGCAAACTTCTCGTATGGTTTATGGTATTACGCGCATGCACGATACCATAAATTTATAAACCATACAAGAATTTTTCATAATTTTGGACCGATAGCTTCAGTTTGAGTTGCAAAGCTATAGCGCTGAGACGATACTGAGCGACGACGTCGACATCGAAGCCCTAAACGGAGGTTTTCCGATGTCGAATGTGATCCGAATTCAGGTGGAAAAAGGAATAGATGATTATGATTAAAATTAGTAAATATGATTAAAATTAGTTAAAAATTGGGCTAAAATTCCTTTGATAAGAATGGATATTAAACTGCTAAATAAAATGGATACGAAACTAGAGTAAAACCGCCAAACTTCGGACGTTGCCAAACTTCGGACAAAAATTACTTCAACGGCTCGAACGCAAAATATGAGCCTAGCTCAGGCGGGTAACTTGCATGCATTTGATACTACTGCTAACCTACATCGTTAGTACAGAAAGTTAGGGCAGGTTGCCGTCTGCAAAACTCACAAAAAACATCAAATTCAGAGACAGATTTTAGGTTACCTGGATTTTTACAGTTCCTTAACAGGGGAGTTAAGGTATAGAGCCTCCAATATATCGATTAAAAACAAACCCTTGGCATATTTCAGGTGGTTTCTGCCAAAATTATGGGAGCTTATGAGATACTTTTTCACTCTATCGCGAAAATTTTCTAATGGCGGCCGTTACCACGGACCTAGGGGTACTATACAGGTACCCCTACCAGAAGATGGCGCTCTTCCAAACTTCGGACAGGCAACATCGAGTGTCATTTTGACTACGAAAAAATAGCGCTTTCGTAAGATTTTAGCACCAAAATATTGTGTGAGTGTTGTGAAAAACACCTTTCTGATAGTTCTACCTAAAATAAATCTACCCAAAACGAGAAAATAATACTTTTTTCATGAAATCAACGCAGTCAAACTTACCCCCGTCGAACGATTTTTGATCCGGTTTCCAAACCTCCGATGAATGCGCACTTTAGCATGCGCGCTATACGTGCGCTGTACGTGAGCTATGCGCTATACGTGCATTATACGTGCGCTACAGATGAACGTCCGAAGCTTAGCAAGTGCGTCCGAAGCTTGGCATGAAAAAAGGTTCGGCGGGTAAGTAAATAATTCTAGTTTTCCATTTCCTTTACTAATTTTCTTTTCATGACATACATAAACAGTATTTGCACAATAATAGTATATTTGATCTTTCAATAATTAAAAAAAGAATTTAATGTTTTCCCCCGTTTTGTCTTAAGTGTCCGAAGTTTGGCGGTCTTACTCTAGACTAGTACACAGTAGACCTACTAGCGCCCCAATTAGGCACATTCATGGGGCACTAGAGGGCGCTTTGCGCGCGTACGAAAATCTGAATGGCCTTGCTGCGGTGGGTCGGCAATAATCAGCCCAAAACTTGGATATGGGAGGGTGGAAGGATATATCTTTTTTATAATGTTATCTGGTCTTACCCTTAACCATCCTATGTTTAATCTATGTAGAAATAACATGCGAGTACGATAAGAGAAACATCGGGCCCATTACTGATGCAACTTTTAAAATATTAGCCTAGAAATGACCACCAAACGGAAAAAATTGACATTTTTTCCCGACAAATCTTCATAAAATCTGATTTATAAACAAGTCACATCTAGGTACACTAATACAAATACGATTTTCTGAAAATTCAGGTATTATTTTTTAAGTTTCTTTCAAGTATATTTCTGCGCATTGCAGCGCCAATGTTCTTCACTGCTTCAAAATCACCCTTGAATTTTTTTTTTTGAAACGAATTTGTTACGAGGTCCGCGAGTGTTCCCCATTCCTTGCGTGTTGAAAGTTTGGTAATACAAAGTTTGCATTGACTCGCGCACGAAAAAATGGCTCGAAAACAAATGTCAAAACGAGAAATAAACAAGCTTTTGTATAGTTATAAGAGATCTACCGAGGTTTCTTTGTCGATATAATTTATTATATAGTCTCAATTAGAATTCAGAATTATCTCACTGAAAAGTTAAGAAACCGACGATGTTATTTTATTTTTGCCAGCAGCCGATCTAGCGTTGTTTGGGCAAAAAGCTAGGCCGCTGCCTTCCCATCGCAAACCTTTCCGAGTCCTGCTAAAATGGCGCGCTGCGGAGCTCCGAAGCTGCGTTGGTATCGCTGCAAACTCTCGGGCGGCTAGCTCCCCACGACGGACCATTCGCGGTATGGCGAGAGTGTGTGTGTGAGATACGATTTTGGATTCGAGAACGCACGTACCACAACCCTGCGCGTCATTTTCAGCTGTTGAATGTCTACGACCAATTTTACATGTACGATTTTTAGTACAGATACTTGGTCAGTTTTCTTCTTATATCTTTGGTTTTACAACATTTAAAAATATAATTTCTTCAAATTTGCTCCCGACTCGGTTCAGACTAATTGTGTGATGTGTTTTCAAGTCAATTTTTTGAATATATTTTTTTGCATGAATTTGCCTACCCCAATGCCTACATACTAGGTCTAGATCTAGATCTAGACTAGAATCTAGATCTAGTCTACAGACAGACTTCAGACTGAATCTGCTTGTAAGTTGTAGTAGTAGACCTCTAGTACATAATTTCATTATCATGATTATCATTACAATATATGGAACGTAAGAACTCATGGAGAATCATTGCAATTCTGACATAATATAATTTCTGTTAATGATCATTGAGATCACACACACATCATCACGTCTGCACGTCATCGCAAGATCATGTAAACACACACAAAAGGCACACAAACCACTCATCATTCGATTGGATACTTACAGCGCCTAATCCACAGCACATTTTATCACTTTATCCGGACGATAACTTCTAGAAAGAATGATCAGTAGTTGCTATAATATTCTGTAGAGCAAAAAATCTTCCTTGGACCGGGATATAATGTAATAATATTCACAAATTTAACTTTGAAAAATTGCTTTCCAACGATGTTACTAACTATACCGTCATGTACATAATATTTGTTGTTTTGTCATATCCTGAGTTAGTCTTTTGGAAGTATTTTATTTAATGATATTCTCATGTCGCTTTATATTTTGTTGTTTGAAATATATATTTACAAATTCAGATTACTTAAGAAGTTATTGGAAAATATCTAAAATATATTGGTCAGCCGCAGTAATTGGTAACTAATTATATATAATTATAATGTTATATTTTTGTATTTAGGTATAAAATAGTATAGCCTAGATTTAGACAAAGACGCAGAGCAAGGCCTATTTATAGATTTGACGATTTAATTATGTCAAAGCTGTCAACAGAGGGAGACAGGCATGAAACACATAACGATCCGACCTCGTCTGTTATAAAGAATCGAAGTTGTAATAAAAGTAGAACAAATGAGAGAATTAATGAGGGTAATGCATGGCATCCGTGCCAAAACTCTTGCAAAAATACTAAGGACTAGGATACGGGTGGATGCCAAGTGCATTTTTGAAAAATGGAAAGAATATAATTTAATCTCTTTGGCAGCTCACTCAGAAAGCTATAATGATGGTAGGTGAGGGGAGTAGCTACAAGGAGTGTCATGAATTGCTGGAATGGTGTGGACCAGGCGCGAACACAGGGGGGGGGGGGGGGGGGGGGTTGGGGGGTTAAACCCCCCCCCCTTTGGTAATTTTTTGTGTGTAAACCCCCCCTAAATTTCTCTAAAAAACCCCCTCTTTTGGATTTTTTTGTTTTTGTTTTTGTTTTTATAAAAAAAAAAAAAAAAAAAATTCCCATGGTTAACCTAAAAAAGTGTCCTCTTACCCCCCCCCCCCCCCCCCGCTTATTCAGCGGCTGGCTGAGTCGTTGCGAAATTTTCGGCCCGATTTAGAAAATGTTAAACCCCCCCCCCCCCCTTGAAAAAATCCTGCGTACGCGCCTGGTGTGGACAAAGCACTTTTACAATTTACAATAAGATATGTTAAGTCCAGTGCAAGTAAAAATCAAGCTAGTAAGCTTATATGTGAGAACCTACAGGGGGCTGCATCCTTGGACCTACTAGGGAAGGGAGGGGGGGGGGGGGGGGGGCGGGGGGTAGTGAGCACATTTTTAAAATTTATTTTTGGGTCACGAAATTTTTAAATTTGACATTTTGCTCCGTTGGGGGAGGGGGGTAAGGTCACCTTTTTAGGTCAGCCATTGGCATTTTTTCTCCATTTTTTTTATAAAAATAATTTTGTTTGGGCCGGGGGGGGGGGACGTCCCTGTTTTTCAGTACATTTTTGGCGAATTTAGGGCTGATTTTAACATATTTTTTTGGGCCGGGGGGGGGGGGTCTTAGCTTATAGTTCTAAGGAGAACTATAGCGCTTGAAGAGAATGAGTGGCGGGACTCATCCACTCATCCTCTCCAAGCGCTACTATAAGCTAAGAAAGATAACCAACAGTCTTTTTCAAGACTACACAAACAGTCATTTTCAGGACTACACACCCTCAAGAAAGACTACCGAGAGTCCTTTTCAGGACTCCTCAATCCTCTCTCTCTCTCTCACATGGTGCACCCGCAAGCCTACTGTATATATCATAAATTATTGTACACCCTTATTTGCTTATGGCTCGAACTTTTGCTTGGTTATTTGGTACTGGAGGATTTACATGAAGGAAAAAATCTTGTTTACATGGTCGCATTATTTCTACCTTATTCATTTTATTTTTAATGTGTCTACTTACTTTTGGTCCTCTTCTGCTCTCTCGGTCTGTCAACATCATCATCGTACACAACTTATTTAATAAAACTTACCGAATTAAAGCTGTTATATATGTATTCTATATTTACTGTAATTGTCTTTGTTTATGATTTTTTTTTGTCGACTGATCTGGAAAATGTTACCAGTGAAAACCAAATTTCCGAATGGATAATAAATGCTTAATTTCATTTCAACTGCGGCTTCACCCTAGATGACCTAAATACTCTCCCACTAAAAAGTGGCCTCGCCCTTTGCATAGGAGTCATATACTCTGGCCAAATCTGAAAAAAAAAAAATTAATTGAGTATAATATCTCCCACCCCTCCCCCTTAAAAGGTACCCTCGCTCTTTGCCAAATCAGAAACCTTGATGTATTTGATTTTGTTAATTTTACGTTTGACAGAGATTTTGTAACATACATCTCCCGGTCAAAAGTTCTTGGATATATCTTTGACCACAATTAGTGAGGGAATACATGTATCGGTGAAAGCTATTGCATTTCACAATACTGGAAGCAAGGTGTTTGTCGTGCTGGAATTTATTTTTCAAAACAGGGCCATAAACGGATTTTCCTATAAAATATTTTATGGGGGCCATACAAATAATTTATCAGACAGACGTTGAGTGCATAATGTCTCAGGTTTTGCAATAAAAATACACATAAAATGCAGGGGGGGGGGGGGTGACGGTGGATATACGGGACATGACCTAAAGCAAAATATATACTTGATATATATACAAAGGTAATCTTCTTGTCTTGCTTTTATATTCATATGTTATTTCTGTGTTTAAAGAGCATCATTATACATTTCATTTACATAGTTTTTAAAAAATAAATCGAGATTAATGTTCATGTATACAAACAACACAAACTAATTCTTACATACTTTAAACAAGAAAAACGCATGGTACATCTATTGTTAAACGGTAATGCATTATAACGATGAATACAGAATGCAAAATTATATCGCTTACATCATATTATAAACAATTACACGAAATAATAAAACTGTATAAAAATATAACTCTGAATGGCAGTGTAAAACACAAGTACAAAATAAGAAAATTACTGGAGAGTAATTTGCTTGCAATTTGGAAGATATTTGGCTTAAACGTTTTCAAAATATACATAATAACAGAAATGACACCAAATAAAAAGAGTTGTTGTCAATTTCCCCTTATAAACCCCCTCTATCTCTCCCTCTCTCTCACTCGCTCTCTCTCTCCCTTCCTCCCTCCCTCCTGTTCGCCCTCTTAAAATCGGTCATGACTACAAAGAAAATGATTTCGATTTGTTGTATGCATAATTATAAATCCCAATCACTCGAGTATAAAGCTGAAGACAAAAAATCCTCCACTTTCAAGTCAATAGCTAATTCATATTATTTAAATTTCTAGTGAAATTTAAAAAAAATCAGCTTCTTCTATCAACGCCCAAAGTTAGACGTAATGTCTAAAGGTATGGATTTGGCAGCATAGGATTATGACCATTAGAAATTCATTTACCATGCAAAATCATTATTATGTCATACATAACTGACGGATAATGGAGTTGTATATTCACTGTGATCTTCATGATAACCATAGTTCATTATATCTCAACAACGTACTGATTAGGGAATTATAATCATCAAATAACAGTTTTTGGTTTAAACATGAGTCCATGATGGGAAAGCACTCAAAAGACTTTTTTTTAAAACCCTCCAACAATATCATATGCAACATCGTAGATGAATAGATTACAAATTGAGTATTGGTTATAGTTTACTCCTTTTGGAGACACACAAAATGATCATAACAAACTACATGCATGAACACAATGATCGATACTAATATAATCTGAGTATGCACAGCATATACATTTACATTTTAACGTTTATATCATACCAATTGGTCATTATATCCTTCAAAGGCTACATGCATTCATATATACATTTGATCAGGTTTTCAACCTTCGATTCTTTAAAGCTTTTGCCTCATTCCGATTACATATCAAGTTAATTGAATGGCCCCAAACCATCACCAAAGATTGCAATTTACGAGCTCCATTTTTGTTTTTACTTACATGAATACAAAACGCTATTTCAAGATTTACATATTGGCAGGCTTCATCAAACCTTCGTCTTTAAAGATAAAACAAGCCAGATGCAACTAATTTTCAAGGTAAAATCTAGTACTTTAAAAACATTCCTATGCCCGCACAAGAATATTAATTTGCCACAGCAATATCAGCAACGTGCACGGCCTTTGGCGCATCTAAATTGCAATTGAAGCTAGCAAATTTACTAAAAAAATATTCAAACGCATAGAGACATGTAACAAACGTTAGCAATATAAATGCAAGAGAACAAACGTGACGTAAACGAATATACACATGTACACTATGAAAAATAAAATGTAAGTCCGAAAAAACATCTGGACTTGGACTTATATCACGCGGTTTTCTTATCACAAACACTGCATTACAAATTATATAAAATATCTAAGGAAACAGGAAATACATTCATGAAACAGCCATATTTATGTGTAAACTATGTTACTACACACAAAATAGAGGATGATGAGGCATCTTGCAATTGATGAATAAAAAAGAGTTTTCTCTGGAAAGCCCCAAAACTAGAACGTTGGTTAATGATCACAGACCGTCACACTTTGATTTAACATTACATCACACACTTTAGAATATATTATTCTGGAAGCACTAAACCCCATTATTTCTGAGTTTGATATAGACAGGATTGAGGAGGGCAGTACGTACGTCTCAATTTATTGCTTTTTTCACTTTAAAAACAAATCAAAAATATCATTTGGCATCTCAAGCCAGAAAAAAAAAGAAGGTAAAAACATCAAATTAAAAAAAACATGATCGCAGATACTTTTCCCATAATTATAGCGACTATTCATCAATGAAATAAACCTAAGCAAATCCAAAAATAACTGTACAAAACAACGAAGCGTGGAATGGTATCCTCCTAAGATAGACCAGCTATCCCGAGTTTTATCCACAAGGTGCCGAAAAGATGTTCCAGAAATCGTTGGCCTGGAACAATTTAGGACATTTAACGACTTTTACTGTCCAAATGGTCATGATTCACTTCGTTTCGCCCACCATATCTCTTGTAAGAGGGTTATATTGTCAGGGTAGTCATTATGATAATAGGTTAATTTATATAGCGCAGGTACTGTAATGAATAACTCTACTGCTAATTAATACAAAGTATTATTACCCCGGCTGTAGCTTAGCCACCATAATCAGGCGCTAAAGCATAATGGATTTCTTCCTACCGTAGGTACCCATTTAATTCACCTGGATGAAGAGTGGCACATGCATATTAATGTCTTGCCAAAGGACATGTGTGCCGAGGTGGGACTCAAACTGCGGACCGTGTCATTCACAGTCTGGTGACGATGATGTATCCACTAAACCACGACACCTCTACAATATTATTGTAATGGTAAACCGACCCCATTGATAGGTTAAAGATTGATCTGTACATAATTATAATTAAGCTGTAGAGAATATAGAGCTATAGCTTCGCCAGGTCCACAGACAAAGATCTGAGCAAGTCTCTTTACTATTCCTCTATCAAAAGATAATGAAAGCATATAAATGAAATCTCTGCTGACAGAGTCCACTTTATAAAAGATATCACTGAGGCCTACTATAGGTAATCAAGGAAACACCCTGAGTACTTCATCTCGTAGGAAAAATTTCCATAGGCAGCTGCTACAGAAACATCTCAAGACGGACGCCACAAGATGTAGCCTGTACCATTCTTACTCTCAGCAGCGGGTGTTTGTCCTTTGGACTTGGACTCCATAGTAGTATCTGCCCCGGGAGACGGGTTGAAGTTCTTGTTCAACCACTCCGCTGCCGAAGGTGCCTCCTGCAAACGGAAACGATAAAAGACAAGAAAGGGCAAGGGCAGGAAAGGATAAATAAAGGAGAATAAAGAGAAAGTGTGTGTGTGAGAGAGAGAGAGAGATAGAGAAAGAAAGAGAGGGGGAGGGAGGGGGAGGGGGGGGGGGGTGAGGGCGTAGGAGAAATACGGTGGTGATTATTTGAGAAATTATACATCAGGAAAGTAGTCTGTAATCATTTCATCAGAGGTTTACTTTAACATCAATTATGAATATTTTGTGTATGAAAGCAGGCTTCCTTCACCTAAATGATTAAACTAGAAGCAAAATGTTCATTTATGCATTGGTTAAATTTCTAACTGACCCAAAACATGACTAATGATCAATATGAACGATGACGAAAAAAATCTCCAGTTTGAGGCGCTGGTGTCGTGGTTTGCTTGTGTCAAGTCAAAGACAATTACTGATTCCCCAGCATAAGGGGAGTCGGCGTAAAAGACCCTCCAAAAACGGAATGGAGAGAGAGAGAGAGAGAGAGAGAGGGAGGGGGGGGGGTCTATTTTTTTAACGCGGACATGCGGCCTCCGTCATTCGTCTGGTATTATTTTGATACGCCTGTGAAAAAGTCTCAAGGAGTCAAGTTAAATCTGAAAAAGTGTAAATAATATAGCAGACATGGCGAATGTCTCTAAACCTATATAGCGAATTGACACGACAGTTTCTAACAGATAATCCAGATATACTAACCTCATTTTCCACAGAAGGTTGCTCTTCAGGAAACACCACCGAATATTCACCATATTCCTGCAAACGGTAACAAACCATCCATTCAGTCATAATTATATATGCAGAACATAAAAACAGGGAACATGATGAGTGTTTCATAGGGGGAAAACCCCGAACTGTTGGCTGATAACTATAATTCCACGTATCCGGGCACCTACCCCCTGGACATTCACCCCAGATAACCACCCACAGTCAACTACCCCCTAGGATAGTTGTCCGGGGGTAGGTGTCCGGTGGGGGTGGGTGTCCAGGGGGTAGGTGTCCTAGAACCATAATTACATCATAATTATGCAGGATATCAAGTCAGGCAGCACCATAAATGTTTCATAGAAAAACGAACTGTTTTTAATGGCTTATGATCGTAATAATTATCATCACATTTCATCACGCCTCTATTATGGCTCGTTAATATTTCATGTTCATAGTTTCATGTCATGCCTATGTGCATATTAAGAACGTATGCATCTTCATGGTCTTAAAATCATTTCCTGATGAATAGAAATTCATCTCTTAAAATAAACTCAGCGTATGCCCTTCCCTTTTGATAAAACAGGGACAAATTCTATTACAGCTTTAATTGCAATGGATCAACATCTGCAGTTGTGGCCGCGTTTACCCCCCTCCCCCCCGCACCTCCATCGCAACCTGGAGAGGATTCCGTTCCATCTATGAATGGATACGCCATTGAAATGAATTCATGTCTTGCTTACTTCTGGAGAGGAAGTAGACAGGCTAGACTGTGGTGAAAGTGAAGGCCTCGTCCTTTCACCATTAGCCAAGGGAGAAATGTAGCCCACGCTGCCCATGGTTCCTTCTGGCCCGTCGACATCTCCAATGCTGGGATAAGGACACTGTAAAAGTTGTGTTCCTGACGTCACTGAGGAGCCAGGACATCTCGATCCATTGGGAAAGACGTCTGTACGTCGGGGTGGTAGTTCAGGCCCTTTCTCCAGTAGATTTTCAGTGATATACATTGCCCCGGCTGGCGCTGGCGGTCCATGTGCAGGAGGTTTCACCCCAAGCTGCCCACCTCTTTCGTACTGGTCGCCTATGTCGATTTCATCTCGATCATGGCGTATCTTCATAACTAGGATGATAATACCACCAATAATGAAAATGATCAATACAGCCACTCCGGTAATGATGCCAATCATTTTGCTGTCCAATGAACCTGTAGATGTGGGCGCGTCTTTCTTTTTTAAGAGGGCTGCAGGTGTGATGAGATCAGTGACTAGGGGCACAGGTTTTACGGAAGGACAGATATCATGATGGCTGAGTTTAGTGAGAAATTGTCCGTTTAAACTTTCGGGAGTTGAACAGCTTGCCAAGTACGACGAGCCTGCATCAGAAGTCATCGCAGTCGCTCCATCAAGCCAGTACTGAAGAGGGTAAATAGAACAATCGCAGTGGAGCGGATTGTGAGAGATATTAAGGTGGGCAACCTGAGGGATGTTGCTGAAGGTGATATTCCTGGTCGAATTCAACGAATTATACTGCAGCCGGAGCTTCGTCAAATGTGGAAAATTATCAAGAGCTTCAGTTTCGATCGATTTTATCACGTTGAATGATATATCGAGTACATTGAGAGAACCGAGGAATTCAAACGAGTCACTCTGAATGCTGATAATCTGATTGTGCTGGAGATAAAGCTTTCTCAGTCCAGAAAGACTCGCAAAATCGCGGTTATGGAGATGCTGAATGTCATTGAAAGAAAGCTGAAGCGTTTCGATTTTGTTGGCATATGGGAATATTCCCGTTGGTACTCGGGTCAAGTCTGTATATTGCAGATCCAAGTGGACAAGATTACCAAGTCCACTGAATGCACGACCGCTCAGGTCTCCCAGTGGGTTGTTCTTAAGATAGAGTTTGGTCAGGTGAGAAAATCTGCTGAAGCAGTCATCCGGCAAATAAGTGATTTTATTACTGTCAAGGAATAGCGTATGAAGAGAATTGACAGTGGAGAAGGCATCGCATGGAGCTGTCATAAGTTCATTTTCCTGCAAAGATAGGTACTGCAGGTTTGTCATGTTCTGAAATGCACCTGGTTGGATCACCTCCAATCCGGCCTTGTTGATGAACATGTGCAGCACATTTGGTAACCCCCTCATCATGTCTGGTTTGAGAGTTGGAATACCGATCTCGTTCAGATGGATCTGTTGCAACTCGGTACACCCTTCAAATGCTCCGTTCTCTAGGGTCAAGTTATTTCTGTCTAGGTACAGGTACTTCAGGTTGGAAAAATTGCTAAAGGAACCCTCCGTCAAATGCTGCAATCTGTTATCCTGCATCTGCAAGGTCTTGGCTGATTTACACTCCTGTGGCACGTAAGTCAGATCTCGCCCCTGACATCCGGCTTCCTTCCCCCATGCATTGTACTCGCACACATCTGAACATCCAGTGCTCACCGCCATACAGTCTGTGATGAAGCAGACTGACAGCACCACCAACTTGACCAACAACGCTTGCTGAGAGAGTTCCACCATGATGCTGACATTGAAGATTCGTGGATATCTGCATAAGAATAAAAACAAGAAAATAATGTCAACAACTGTTAGTATTGAAATCAATGCCATGTATTCATTATTAGTGTTTTCATTAACGAGCCATGTTGGATAACCTATTATTGTCCTTTTCTGATCTGATGAAAGGAAAAGTGTAGAGTTCAAAACATTAAACTATTTGATCTGCGAATTAGTCAACTCTCCCATTATTTTTTTACTCTAGGAAAATGGTAATGTAAGAGATTAGTTAATTGCAAAATTAACGTACAACTAAGAAAAAGCAGAAAACGATTTAAAAAAAGTTCACCTGGCTAACAAAGAATGATATCATGAATGGATGCTAGAAACTAATTAATCGAAATCAAGTTACCTCTGGAAGACGGTTTGTGCATAATATCTCAGTTGGTTTCGAATTCAAAGCACAAAGGAGAAGAAGAGGGAATCGGCGGTTGAAAACTCTTGAAAAGCGATGTTTGATATAAAAAGGCATGAACAATAGTGTTTACCGTCCCCTAATAAAATCTGGATTTCCCCATGATCAGACACAGTTCTGATTTATTATGACCCCATTGATATAGATTCAATGATAAACAGCTCCTCGAATATATTATATAAAGGTTTCAGATAAGGGCCAATAATCTTTCATTTTCATGTTTATGCTAACCCTTTGATCAGTCTGAGAAATTGTATTATAGAACACAATTATAAGGCCATAGAATGATGAAGAGCTTGGCAACCTAAACACCACTCAATATTGATGAGATTTATTGTTGATATTGAACTGTTATTCAAAGTGATTGGTCGCATTGATATGAGCAGGGACATGATAGCTGATATGAGGGAGAAGCAAGAAGAACATTGATTAGCTAGACATGGCAGAGACAGACAAACATCACTCTCCCACATTTAGAAAATTCAGTGACAGTTGGGCCTGTAAATGAATAACGGGACCAGTTTGGGGGTAAAAAGAATATACCCCCAATCTCAAACGTTCTTTCTAAAGCAGCGCTCGATATCAAGGGTTGTGTATACATTTCTGCTTAGTAGTGGGGGGGGGGGGGGGCTTTAAATTGTTATTTGACCCAACATGATTTTCAAAACAGATCGCCTCCTCTTGGGAGACATAAGACACGTAAATAAAGCAGTTCATAATGATTTGTCTTTCGAAACCCGGTCATAGTCCTTACCTATATCTAGCCTATCTCAACCCAGGTTTGTTGAAAGTGTCTGGTGGAATTTATTATAAGATTTGAAGAAGTACGAAGTTTACTTTTTACATCTATTCTGGTGATAGGATTACTGAAAGGATGACATTTTATTTTTTTTTATATAGAAAGATACCAGTCAGCTATATATATAGGGTACATCATAGGTTGCCTAGATATGCGTGTTTTTCTCTATTATATAGGTCTAGTTTTCCAATGTGTTGTAATAATGGCTGGGAGATACCCTAATGAATAAATTATTGCCCAATAAACATTGACACAAGGAGACCCAGAGCCTCTTGTAGGATAATAATGGCCAACGATCATGAAATCTAAGCACACAGCAAAGTGAGGATTTAAGCATATAATTTAGGGGGAGGGCGGTTTGCGAAAAATACGAGTGTATGTATAAGGCCTTTGTATTCTCTCATAACAACAGCACGTCAGTCACGTTGCAAGAAAAATATACACGTGATGACGTGTGCACTCGACTGGGGAAGTTCCAGTATAGTCCCCATTTTGGATTGAATCAATAGTGGAATGATAGCATTTTGGGGTATCACTGCATGCTGATAGTAAAACGAGGTGAAAATCTTGACTTTGGCCCCCGTTAACAGATAAATGGGGTCATAAAAAGTTATAGGTTAACAACACAAGTAAAGAGAGTAAAGAAAACCAATTACAGGAGAAACTGAGGTGGTGGTAGGGGAGGGGGGGGGGGCAGATATTTGATTTTTGCCGGATTTATGACATTTCTAAAATGCAGTACATTCATAATCAAACTTAAATGAGCTAAAGTTCAGAGTAAGGGAACATTTTTAATCCTTCTTTCAACTCTCCCTTTGACGTGTTTATGGAAAGCGTCACACGAAAGTTCCAGTTCTATCTCCATAGGCTACCCTGGATATCGAGTCATCTCCTATTTATGTTTACAACCAAGACCCATTCCCCTTCGCTCTTTAGGATTTCTCATCAATTGTTCTCGATCATCACCTCTATAAATGTGAATTCTATAGTTCCATTCAATCAAAAAACATATTTCAAGAGTTGTTCCCTTTTCTCCCCGTTATGTCTCTCCATTTCTATTTCCCTCTTTCCTGGTCCTTAGTTTGTTTTCTTTCGGTCAGGCGTTTTCTATATTCGAATTCTTAAGTATATCTAAATGATCTTCTTATCCGTCTTTCTTTCTTGGCCTAACTGTCTAAACATTGTGTCCAGAGAGGTAGTTTACTTACCACTCTAAACCAAGCTAAACATCAGTGAGCTCAGAAATGATTTCACCGAATAATATTTACATAACTGGGCCCTTCGTTGATGTGTTTTTCCCATTTGTCATGAAGTAGGCGGTTGATGTAAACAACATTTTGAACTTTGTCTTCCTTGTCCCATTGTATGATTCTAGGCCCATTCCCCACAATGCCAGAATATCTACCTTTTTGCCTCCACAAAATCTCCCTTTTATTATTTTTATACTGTGGTGTGTGCAACCTTTAATTTTGATCAACTAAAAGATGTTGACATTTGATAATAGGAAAATATAATTCATGCACATCAATTAGATTCCGAGGCCATTCAGATCTTAACATTATTCGTCTAGGCATTCATTTCTATATGTGTATATTATGACAAACTTAATCATAATAGTATATCGCATCACGGTTCGTTTGCTTACACGCGATTGTATTCATTGTATTACAATGCACCTCCTCTTTATTTTGAGAAAAAGAGGGAAAGAGAGAGCCAGAAGAAGACAAGCGGGAGGGAGAAGAGGGGTGAAATCCAAACAGTAGAAAATAAAACTATGAGAAATGCATATTAAAAAAATGATCATAATTTGTTTCGAATAATATGTCCTTAAATATTTTCATTAACATGTCGAAATTTCCAATTAAAAAAAGGAAAAGTACTGATAAGAACGCAATCGTTTCAATATAATGTTGAAATAAAGGTGGTTTCATGTAGTCTTTTATCACATTTGGGCTACACAAATTTATGTTTATAATATCACCTTTGATATTTTGCTGTTTGATTTCCCATTGCAAATTCACATAATATACTTAGGTAAGTATATAGAAACATAACACTAAATATACATATACAGTTAACAACTAAATTATTCATACCCTTACCAAGTTTTGAAATTTGTTAAAGTGTGTGAAAAAATTGATTTGTCCCGATCGATGTTTCTTGAGACTGTGACATATCGAAGCTTACAACTAAATGTATTCAACAAAGACCCTAATTCAATCAATCCACCTTTCATTCTTTAGTTACGAAACGCACCCCCAAAAATTGCAAGAGGTATGGATAATTCAGTTGTTAACTGTGTATATATATATCCCAAGCTCGCACGGTCTAGCAATTTCATTTAAAGAGAACATTGTGTTCTTGGAAAGGTGAAAAACAAATAAACTTTGAAACTGAAATTTTGTCATGTTCATGTGGAAGAATATTGTCACCTCAAAATGATTGATCTTAAAATGCCCTCAAACTCAAAATGAAAAGAACTACCTGACACATGGCTAAAGTGTGTCACTGGACCAAACTTTCAGGACATATAATGTGTAGTTTCATGGTCATATTTCTGTGTACGGTGCACGTGTCTTTAGTTTCAGCAATACTATGTCAATATCTTAATATTTGTGATGATTACAAATTCTCGCAGTATATTACATCGATTCTTACACACAACCAGACAATTTCTTCCACTGAGCAATCGCATGACCAGATCTCGACTTTTCTCTATAACACCAAGTATAGGTTTTTCCTATTTATCATCGTTTACGACCAAAGCAGTCTTGTAAATCTGAATTAGTTAAGTTAGATCAGCTTGTTATATTAAACATAAGAATGAAAATGACATAATACGTATTTTGTTGAGAGCGAGATGGGTGTTAACATTGGGTTCAAATATACATTAAAATGCAAACATACCGTTGACCTCAATGTTATGTGGACAAAGAGTTAACGATAAATGACAATACACCATAACCACTCCCGCCACTCATCCTCTCCAAGCGCCATAGTTCTCCTTAGAACTATATAAGCTAAGAAAGATAACCAACAGTCTTTTTCAAGACTATACCAAACAGTCCTTTTCAGGACTACAAACCCTCAAGAAAGATTACCGAGAGTCCTTTTCAGGACTTCTCAATCCTCCCTCTCTCTCACACATGATGCATCCGCAAGCCTACTGTAAACCATAACATGTATTCCATTTTGATAAAAATCATTAATACGCACCGTATATAATTATATTGAAGTGTTAAGTCCAATATTACAAGATGATTTTCGCCAAAATTTGAATAAAGACAAGTTTATTGCTTACTGGTCCTCGCAGAAAGCATATTCTGAATCTGGAAATGGAACCCAATTATATTTTTACATCAAGCGGACCTATCCTAAAATAACACAAGAACATAATTTCATCTTATACAAATACAATTATCCCATAATGTTCCCGATCGATAATCGTAGCATGTAGACATGGTTATGACATTGCGCAATATACTTTATGAACTGCTTTAAATCGGTTCAAATTTACCAACAGCCAAATTCGCAAATAAATTTAAACTCCCCGCCACGCAATAATATCTATTTTGTTTAGAGGTAAAACCCCTTACTATACGTCTTTGTTACAGTACAAAGGAATATTAAAGTAAACTTGAAAAGCTTTCTGTTCGTTTTAATTTCTTGCAGATATATACGGAAGTTCTGTCAAAGAAAAATGAGGCTTTCAAAAGAAGGATGTTTGTGTAACACGAGGGGTGGGTATTGCAATGAAAACTAAATTGAAAGTAAAAAT